CAGGAAGTTAACCATCTGGTGAAGAGCAATTCTAACACCCACCACTTTAGACTTGTTTGCTTCTGGATCAGTCCCAATAACACATGACTGGTTGAAGCTCTGGGAATTTGTTTGTATCTGCAGTTGTCTCTGAAAATCTGGCTAAATCCTAAACACCCCTGATCAGAATAACCCCCAAGCATATCAGTTCAGAACAGGTGTTAGCTCTAAAAGTTGAGTCTTCTTAAAATTGTTGATTCATATTTTTAAAGCTCATCTCAAAATACAACTGATCATATCATGTGTACTGTTTTCCCAATTCCATGAGATTACTTAAATTACTTAAAGATTCATTTATCTGGTTGTATTAATTATAGCTGACTTGTAAATCCTTTCAAATTTAAGACCACATTTTTGCTCCCAATTCATACATTATACCTTGCAGATGAAATTTCGTGACTGAGTTGCCTTTTTGTTATATGTCATTTGAGCATATGATGCCAGAAATACTAAAAAAGAAACATTAAAGTCAAAAATGGCAAAGGTATGAAGCATTTTAGTAAGCGAAGTGGGTGGCAAACCATATGTTTGTTTCTGAAGTGTTTTCGTGGATGACAGTGACAATAGATGCTATTAATAAATTCCTGTCTTTAGTGATTGTTCTCTAGCTATTCGGAATCTATGTTTTAAGAATTTGATCACTTTTTTGTTTAAATGTATTACCTCATATGGTTTTTATTTGTTTTAGAAATCAGTTCAAATAAACTCAAGGTCATCTGCACCCTAAGCCAGCAATTTGCAACTGGAAAACCCTCTTGGGAGGGGAACCCTTTCTTTCTCTCTTGAAGGAACTGTAGACCTGTGTGATTGTAGGATAATCCCGTTCTTAATGCAGTTAAATGCTTCCACCTCTGTTCTGAATTCCATCTCCTCTTCTTAAGGGACCATGTTCCTTCAGTTATTTTCTCCCTCTCGTGTATTTACTTCTTTCTACTGTTCTAATTCTCCACTTCCCCTGCAGATGTTTAGCTCCTTCCATCTGACAGGTGAAGGTGCATTCATCCCTGTAGCCTCTACTGGTCACTTTTCCTGTCTCTGTTCTTCCCTTTATGGTCTTAAAAGAATATGATGTTTTTTAAAAACTCTCACATAAACTCCGTTCAATGTAATCTCCCATAAATTCCTTATCCCACCGTGAATCTGACACTCGAGTTGCAGGTAGGTAAGGATTCTAGAGACTAAGAAACCAGGACCAGAAGGAATAATCTACTACTTTAGGTCTGGAATCTGGTAGGCCAGAGAGCCTGGTTAATTAAATCATTTCTGTCCACATTCTAGAAATAATATAGATAGAAAAAGAACAAGTTACATATTTAGATATTTGGCAGCAAAATCTTAAGGTCTAAGTAAGAATGAGAACAGAATAGAAATTATAATGTACTAGAAACTTTTTTACAAAGAAATTATCTCTCTGAAGTCTTCAGAAAAAGAAGTATGTTTTAAAGTAAGAAATAGACAATGGTGAGAAAGTTTCCCTAATAGACTGTCAGGGAGGTGGTATATGTAAAGTGAGTTATTCAATAAAAAAAATCTTTGCATAACTTTGTTTTTCTCCTATCTTTAATTTGTACTTGTATACTAGAATTCCACCTTATTGTCCTAGACCTGCTCCCCAACCATCCAAGACTCCAGTTTGTGCTCCTTTGGTTCTTTCCTACTCCCATGCTTTCTGCTGACTATCTTCTCCAAAAGCAATAGCTCCCATTTGGGTCTCATTTTGACTCTCATGTCCAGTCCTCTGCCTCTTAATTCTACCTCATCCTTTATCTCCTCTTTTGAACTGAAAGATTAGAAGTTAGGGCTTTGAAGTTAGGTAGGTATAAATTCAGGCTTTTAATTTATCAACTCTGTGACGTTGAGTAACTTAATCTTCCTGATTCTTGGCTTTCTATCTGAAAAAATAAGATTATTTCATATCCCCTGGTTTCTGAGAACTAAGAGCAAAGTGTGTAAAAATGGCAAATACTAGATGCTTAGTAAATACTAGTACATTTCTTTTCCCCTGCCAGTTGCTGCTATTTAGTTATATAGGGTTGCAAAGAAGAGAAGGCAAATAGAGGATTAGTTTTATTTTTTATATGTATAAAGATATGAAGACTAACACAAAGATTCCTCGTAAATAAGTTTCAGTAATAAGTTGAAGGAAGAAAAGATTGTTCTCTGAAAACTAAAGACAAATAGATTAAACTTCTCTCCTGAGAGACTATGGCCTTATTGGTAATATGTTTATAATAAACCTAGCCATATCTAATTGAGAAGGGTTACCTTTAGTAGATGAAGCAGGGTTTTTTATTCTAATACAAAATTGAGCTTATTGTCATTAAATAATGATACACTTTTGTTGCTTAGGGTGTTTTGATTAATGAGAGATCACGAAAGAACATTTTTATTTCCCAGTGTAGACATCATATCTGCTGCAATTATATGTATTTTTTGGAATGAAAGAATATCTGTGACATTTACAGAATAAATGGACATTTACTGAAAACTTTGCTTTTTTCCTTTTTAGGTGTTTGGCAATCAACTCATTCCGCCCAACGCGCAAGTGAAGAAGGCAACTGTCTTTCTCAATCCTGCAGCTTGTAAAGGGTAGTTCAGTTTGTGATTTGTTACATATTCAGTTTTTCCAAGGGGGGAAAAATGACAAGAATATTAGGCAGCTATTTAGATTGTGTGGAATTGGAAGAACTAGATTCAGTATTCCTCTAGCCAAAAAGATTCATTTGTAATGTAGAAATAACAGTTAATGAGAAATAATTATAAAGCTAACTAATACTTAGAAAACTTATCTAATTGAAGTTTAATAATCATTCCAGAATTAACACAAGCAGAAAGTCTTTTTTTTTGTTTGAGACAGAGTCTCATTCTGTTGCCCAGGCTAGAGTGCCATGGTATCAGCCTAGCTCACAGCAACCTCAAACTCCTGGGCTCAAGCAGTCCTTCTGCTTCAGCCTCCTGAGTAGCTGGGACTACAGGCATGTGCCACCATGCCTGGCTAATTTTTTCTGTGTATTTTTAGTTGGCCAGTTAATTTCTTTCTATTTTTAGTAGAAATGCGGTCTCACTCTTTTCAGGCTGGTTTTGAACTCCTGACTTTGAGCCATCCACCCTCCTTGGCCTTCCAGAGTGCTAGGATTACAGGCATGAGCCACTGCGCCCAGCCACAAGCAGAAAGTCTTATCGGCTTGAAAGGTAGTCCCCTTGGGAATGACTACTGTGTGGCTGTGGCATAAATCATTGGGCCTTCTGTGTCCACAGAGTGTTTGGAGTTGGCTAAGAGCACTGTGGGCTTGGGAGGTCAGAAATGCTCTTTCCAAAATGGATGAACCTTGAGCTTGTTCTTGGAGGAAGCAGGCAGGAGGAGTCCTCCTTCTTGACTAAGGAAACGGCCCGGGGGAAGGGGCCTAGAAACAGGAGTGACCTAGTTATGCCCTTGTTATGGCAGGGCAGTCTGTAACTGGTCTGGCTGGCCTGGAAAGGTCATGGGAGGGAATTAAGGTGTTAAGAGTGGCTGGGACTTGGGTATATAATGACGTGTTCTTGACGGTTCGTTGGTAACAAATGTACTGCATTGAAGGGGGAGCAGAGCGGATGTGTGTGTGGGGGGGTAGGGAGGGGTGTGTGGGAACTCAAAGTCTCTTAATGAAAAAAAAAATACCATAGGCAAAAAAAATTTTTTTACACTGTTAGCTACAACTCTCATTGAGTTGGGAAGAAACTGTTTAAAAATTATTTTTTAAAAATAGAATTAATGGGTTGAGGGTGAAAAAAAAGTGATACCTTTTACTCTCCCTAATGGTCAGAACATTCTTTTTGGCTTTTCTGAGGATCAGATAATTAGTAAATATGTATCAGCTTGGATTATATAAGATCTAAGTCAAATGACATTAAGATAATAAAAACAACAGCAAAAAGAATAGTCTGGGATCAGATTGTAAGTCTGGGGTAAAACTCAGGGACTCTGAAGTTGGTTTCTCTCATTGCTTGGGTGGCAGTGGGTGTGGTTTCACAGATAGGAGGGTAAGTTGTGCCTTACTTCTTTTTAATGCAGCTGTTTAATTAGGATTGTCTAACCCTGCCTAGTTGAATCATATTTGCTGGGCTTTGTTAGAGCCCCTCTCTTCCCTCATTATGACACCAATCATAATGTCTGTTGATCACTCTTGTTTAATACCATTGCTAAATAATACCAGCACATAAATAAGTCCTAATACAACATAATCAAAATACTCAAGTAATCAAAGGTAGCCTGTGCTTGAAGATAGCAGAGAACTCAGCATGGGTCTGGGAGTTTGAGGGACCTGGACTGCATACTGTTTTGCTGCTTACTAGCTCTGTGATACTGTGGGGATTTCTTAACTTCCTAAATCGCCAGTTTACTCATCCGTAAAATCAGAAAAGCAATAGCACATACCTTAAAAAGTTACCATATAGAATAGAGGCCTTTGACATAATACAAGGAGATGATGCCCATGAAATATTAAGCATTATTCCCGTTTCCTAGTAAGCACTCAACGTGAGAAATGTATTGTTGTTACTGACCATGGGCTAAATTCAGAACATTTTTCTCTTTTCTACCCTTTCCAGAAGCTCTTGTACCTCCCTCACCTTTGGCCTCATTCAGTTTAACTGTTCTGTGTTCTATTCCTTTAGAGACTTAATAAATTAATAACTTGCTAATTTCAGATGAAATTTATGGTAATTTGTTTAAGCTATAATCAGTTATTTTGAGTTGCTGCTTCTAAGAGATACCTACATTTTTAAAATTAATAAACTTTAGTTTTTCAGAGAAGGTTTAGATTCTCTTTACATGTAAATATATTTGCATTTTTAAATGTGGGTTCTTTTTAAATCTATAATTCCTTTATCTAAAGGTGGGCTAAAATGCTGTCACTGAAGGAAAGTCATTCTTTTCCAAGGCATTGACTCCCCTTCATTGACAAGGTGAATCCCCTCATGCTTCTAGGAAACTCTGAAACTCACCATCTTTTTTTTTTTTTTAGAGCTTTCAGTATTTAATTGCACTATTTTTGTCATCATGGCTTTGCTCTGTCACATATTTATAATTTATCATGTAGCTATTTCATTATGTAGTATTGGTTTAAAACTACATAAGTGCTTTAAGAAATAAGATAACTGTGTGTTTAGCGTTAATAAATAATATATTAAAGAGTAATTATTTGGTGTGTGTGCCTGAGATTGGAAATTGCTATAAGCACATCAAGTTTTTATTTAGCCCTGGTGCTATCTCACCCTTAATTATATAATAAATAATGTATGTCTTGTTGGTAACACTTGTTTTTCAATCTTTTATGTAGAACATTAGAAGGAAAAACATCTTCACCTTCATTCTGGTGATTTTCTGAACTCATGGCATCTGTATGAAGAAGTGAATAGAGACCCAAATGTTCACCTCTTATTTCTTAAACTAACTCAGAGGAGATTTGTTGTGATTGACAGAGTGAGACTTCTCCAGAGTTTTACTTTTAGGAAATAGACCTGATCCGCTTCCAACTGATCCTTTCTTATCAATCTAGTAATGAAAGCAATGCTGGAAGGAGGATTGTTTGCAGTATAGCTCAGCCTTTTATTGTTGGGTTAAGCCCCCAGAAATGGTGAGCTGGAAGGGAGAAATTTTTACTTACCCTTTCATGTTCATTCTAATAATCATTCAGAACAATAGAAAGGTAGGGTATATTTCATTTGCTTATTAAATGCTCAGATAGGCCCTGGATTGGAGATATTCTTTTGGATGGTTCTTCTGAAAATGTGTCTAGGCTTCTCAATTCTAATTTAATTCATAATAAGAAATGTTTTGTGTTCTGTATGCCATTTGGTAGTTATTTCTTTTCAGGTTAAATGATATTGAATTTAGTCTGTGCATAACTATACATCCTTTTCATTAGCTACCTTTGTATTTCTTTCTAGTATAAAATATCCTTAAAGTCAAAGGATGCATCATTGGTTAAAAAATCTTTTTTAGAAAGAGGATTGAGTAAATGTGGATATGAAAGTCAGAGGTTTGACATTGATTGCTTGAAAGTACTAGGATTTTTTTTTTTCCTATGTAATAGTTGGAAATATTTGGGCAAGAGACAGGCCAACTAATAGGTATGTTTCAACATTGATTTGACTTTGAGACTGTGCCATTGGGAGATGGGACTTTTTGTAACTTCTGTACCCATTAATTCCTAGGTTGTGTTTTTAAATTCTAATCTGAATTGGACAAGCGTTTACTGTCTAATGATGTGCATGATACTTTTGAAATACAAAAAGTCTTCTAAGGGTTGTTTATTTCTCTTAGAAAACATCACAATCGTGCCATTTCATTTTCCTCAGAAGTTACATGTCTGCATTTGGGGCAGGTTTGTTAATTCATTTGTGCATTAGTTCATCAGATACTTAGTACCTAAGTGTGCTATACATAATCCAGGGGATTCAAGGATTAATAAGATTTGGTATCTGTTTTTGCAAAACTTCTAGTCTAGTTCTGAAGACAGTCTTGGCAATCTCTAATCATCATAAAATGTGAAAGTTGCTAATAGAGGTGTATAAAAGTGTCGCGGGACCACAGAGAAGGGCATGACCGTGCCCTTCAAACTTTTCTTTTTCTTTCTTTTTGAGATAGAGTCTCACTCTGTCACCTGGGCTAGAGTGCCGTGGCATCAGCCTAGCTCACAGCAACCTCAAACTCCTGGGCTCAAGCGATCCTCCTGCCTCAGCCTCCCAAGTAGCTGGAACTACAGGCATGCGCCACCATGCCTGGCTAATTTTTTCTATATATTTTTAGTTGGCCAGTTAATTTCTTTCTATTTTTAGTAGAGACAAGGTCTTGCTCTTGCTCAGGCTCGTCTCAAACTCCTGAGTTCAAACGATCCTCCCGCCTTGCCTCTCAGAGTGCAATGATGATTTCAGACTTTTCTGTTTCTTAGCAGAAATTCTGCCTTCTTGGAAAGGGTTTTTGCTCTGTCTCCAGGGATTTCACTATTGGTTTAAAATTCAAGAAGTGGAGATACCTCTACTATTTGAAATTATTAAAAATGGATGTATCTCACTCCAAAAGGTTGTATTCATTGGGTGAGAATTAAGCGATTTTCTGTTTTGTTCAATTTATTCCTTTGGGTCAGATGAATAATGTTGCAATAAATTCATTTCTTCCATTGGAATATAAGTAAGTTCCATGAAGACAAGTGGTTTTGTCTGCTTTGTCATGTTGTGTCCCTAGCTCCTCCACCCACCTATGTCTGTCACAGAGTAGGTGCTCAATAAATTCTTGTTGCGTAAATCAAGCATTGGTGCCTGAATGGAGTCTCATCTAGTGTACATTCTTCCTCTAGAGGAATAGAATGTGAACTGTAGGTCTCTCAAATGAATAAGAACTAATTTTATGAGGCAAAGGTTTGCAAATTCCTGGAGGCCCCAAGGTGTGAAAGGTTCTATTTTGCTATTTGTGATAACTCATTACTCAGTGTTAAACTTTCTGTAATTGAACAAATAGAGGAAACCCATGTTCCATGGCCTTTCTTACTCTACTCTAAAGAAGATGTTTGAGGTTTTCTTCCTCTTGAGAACTTGTATTAAAATATTTTCAATTTTTCTTTTGTCTACAGCAAAGCCAGGACTCTATTTGAAAAAAATGCTGCCCCGATTTTGCATTTATCTGGCATGGATGTGACTATCATTAAGGTAAGAATGGTTCTTTTTTTTTTTTTTTTTTTTTTTTTCTTTTTTTTGAGACAGAGTCTCACTTTGTTGCCCAGGCTAGAGTGAGTGCCGTGGCGTCAGCCTGGCTCACAGCAACCTCAATCTCCGGGGCTCAGCGATCCTACTGCCTCAGCCTCCCGAGTAGCTGGGACTACAGGCATGCGCCACCATGCCCGGCTAATTTTTTGTATATATATTTTTAGTTGGTCAATTAATTTATTTCTATTTTTGGTAGAGACGGGGTCTCGCTCAGGCTGGTTTCGAACTCCTGACCTTGAGCAATCCGCCCGCCTCGGCCTCCCAAAGTGCTAGGATTACAGGCGTGAGCCACCGCGCCCGGCCAAGAATGGTTCTTGGATGTTTATTTTACCCAAGCTTCCACTCTTTATAACATATCCTCTTCTCTTGACTTAGCAAAAATCACTTGTTACTTAAGAAGACAAGAGCAAAGAAATCAATGTTGTGTCTTATTCTGATAATTAGTAAAAGCAGTTTTGTTTTTTCTAAATATCAGTTTTTCATTTTTAGAATAGGATTAGCTGGATACTTGGACAACTTGATACCTTTCATCTAAGAGATAAGATGTGGAATTATATTGCTATTACAGTTCTTGTTATAGCTGTAAGAATTCTTTTCCTGAAAATACAAAATCTTCAAGTTTGAATAATTTAATTTTTTGATAGTTCCACAAACAAGGAAACATTTTTCTTTCATGGTCTTTACATTTTTGAGGAGTTCAGGTCTTTTTTGGTAGAATGTCCTTCAATTTGGGTTTACCTGTTGTTTTGCCATGATTAGATTCAGATAATGAACTTTAGCAGAGATATAACAGAAAGAATGTTGTGTCTTTCTCAGTGCAAAATACATATAAGGAAGTCCTGGAAACCTTTACGTTTTTAGCTTGAGGTTTTTCAGATTACCAAGTAGCACGAATTTGGATTACTTACTTGTGTGAGGACCAATGTAAAGTTGTGGATTCTCAGGGAAGATTTTTACCCCCTTCATTTAGTATCAAATTTCAGAGGAAATCTTCCTTGCAGTCCCCTGGGGTAAGGATAGGAGTAAGAGTAGGAAACCTTTGTTTTAAATTCCCTCTTAAACTGAGCATGTAGTCTTTTGGGTCCTGACTTACAGTGGGGTGTGGTTCTTCCATCAGGCTAACTAACCTTTAGTATGTCCTGGAATTTCTGCCTGCTTTTCCTAGAACTAGTGAAACTCTGAAAACCATCCAGGTTCCCCTGGTTTACTAGATGCCCTCAAAGCATTTACTATATAGGTGCTAGTTTTTGGGTTTAGTATTCCTTACTTTGTTATAGTTTATTGATGCATCAAAGATGTTTTTCTTACTTTACTCTGTAGTGTTAATTTTTAATGGCAGGGTACTTAGTCTACCATTCTGCTATAAATGGGATTATAGCACTTTATGTAGGTGATTTTATTTAAATAACATATAAGCCAGTGAAGTTGGGTGTTATCATCTTTATGAATGAGGAAATTGATGATGTAAACATCCAGAAACCTTCCCAATTACTCATTTAGTAGTAACAGAGCTGATTTAAAACCCTGGTCTGTCAACTCTAAGGCATGCTTCCTACCTCAAGCTCTGCCTCCCACTTGATAGGAAACCTCCAAGATAATCCATTTTATCTTAGGATAGTACTATTAGAATAGTCTTCCTTATTTTGAGAAGAAATCTGTTTCCTAGGAGTTTTTATTCCTAGCTTGGTTGTCCTTAACTCTGGCCGAATATTAAATTACCTGGAGATGTTTAAAAGTATAAATTATGCTCAGTCTCACTCTCTAGATATAACTGATGTGAAGTCTATATTTACAAAATAAATTCATTCATTTGTTTGTTTGTTCATTCAGTCATTCCCAGATGATTATAATGTGTAGTTTGATTGAGAATCATTGACCTAGGGCTTAGTTCTATCCCAGGGATTCATGTGGAAGAAGCCTTATCCTCCTCCTGCATATTAGTCTTTGGAATAATAAAGAATGTTATCATGACCCTTCTGTAAGCCTTTTGCACTTGAAACATTCCCAGTTTCTTCACAAGGGATATGGTTTCAAATCTGTCACCTTCCTGATTGGTCTCTGAGATGTTCTCTAGTTTTCTTTTCTCTTAAAGTGTAGTGCCCAGAAATGAGGCGTAAAAGCAGGACCAAATCTCTTGTTCCATATCCTATTCTTTTAAATAGCTCAAGATCACACTCTTTTGTTGTTGATATATCATGCCTTTGAGTTTGCTGGACTCTTTGTTCCCTAAATCTCCTATGTCTTGTTTGCTATGTACATTAGGCCACTTTAAAAAATAGTAGACTTTATATTTAGAGTGGTTTTAGGTTTAAGGAAAAATTCAGCAGAAAGTACAGAGTATCTATATTCCTCCCTCTTCCCCATTTCCCTTGTTATTAACATCTTGCATTAGAGTGGCATATTTGTTACAATTGATACATTATTATTAAGTCCATAGTTTTCATTTGTATTCACTCATTCACATTCATTTGTGTAGTACAGTTCTTTGAGTTTTGACAAATGTATAATGCATTGTGTCCACCATTACAGTATCATACATATTAATTTCACGGCCCTAAAATCCCTTGTGTTCTACCTATTAGTCCCTCTCTGCACCACTAATCTTTTTACTGTTGTCATTCTTTGCCATTTTGAAAATGTCATATAGTTGGAATCATACAGTATATAGCCTTTTTAGACTGGCTTCTCCATCGTCTTTTCATGGCTTGATAACTTATTTCTTTTGGTGCTGAATAATATTCCATTGTCTGGATGTACTACAGTTCATCCATTTACCCACTCAATTACATCTTAGTTGCATCCAATTTTAGTGATTATGAGTAAAGTTACTATAAACATTTGTGTGCAGGTTTTTGTGTGGACATAGATTTTAAACTTATTTGGGTAAATGCCCAGGGGTGCTATTGCTGTATAATATGGTAAAAGTATAATTGAATTTGTACGAAACTCCCTTCCAAAGTGACTGTACCATTTTGCATTCTCACCAGCATGAATGAGAGTTCCTGTTGTTTCATATCCTTGTCAGCATTTGCTGTTTTCAGTGTTTTGGATTTTAGGCATTTTAATAGGTGTGTAGTGGGCCTTATTGTTTTAATTTGTGATTTACTAATTATATATAATAAGCATATTTCCATCTGCTTGTTAACCATCTGCGGATCTTTGGTGAGGTGTCTGTTCAGATCTTTGCCCTTTTATTTGGGTTTTCTTTTTATTGAATTTTAAAGGGTTCTATGTATATTTTGATACAAGTCCTTTGATAAGATATGTATTTTGCAAGTATTTCCTCTCAGTCTGACGCTCATCTTTCATTCTTATAATAGAATGAAAAGACTTCTTTCTTTTATAGAGCAGAGTTTTAAATTTTATTAAAGTCCAATTTATCAGTTTTTTTTTCATGCATCTTGCTTTTGGGGATGTATCTAAAAACTCAGTGCCAACTCCAAGATCACTTAGATTCTATCCTGTTATCTTCTAAAAGTTTTATAGTTTTGCATTTTACCTTTAGATCTATGATCATTTTGAGTTAGTTTTTATGAAAGATACAAAGTTGGTGTCTAGATTCTTTTTTTCTGGCATCATCAAGCCACTTTTTTATCCGTTTTTAGCACATTTGAGATTTTCTTTCTAAGATTAGAGCCTCAAATATATTATCCCTATCAATGTAATCTTTTAAATTATGGTCTCTCAAAATCTTTTTGAATTTTCGTTTTTCCCTTCATGTACCTATTCATATTTACTTTTTGCAAATATTTATTGAGTGCCTACTGTGAGCTAAGCCCTGTACTGAGTACTGGGGATACATTCTGAACAAAACAAACTCCCTGTCCTTAAAGGCTTCTTTTCAAGGTTTGAAAGAAAGGTAAGCAGACAAGAAACAAATATACAAATAAATGAATTGTCAGATGATGATGAGTGCTAAGAAGAAAGATTAAGCTGGTTAAGTAGGCAAAGGGTAAGAGGGGTGTTATTTCAGTGCAGCTGGTCTGATGAGATGAACAGACACAAAGGAAATGAGGGAGCATGTAGACGCTTGAGGAATGAGAATCCAAGCCGAAGATACTGCATGTTCAAAAGCCCTGGGGCAGGAGTGTACTTGGCATGTTTGAGGGATAGTACGGAGGCCAATGTGGTTGGAGTGGAATAAGGAAAGGGACAGAATGAGAGGATGAGGAGGGAGAAGCAAGAAGAGGCAACGTGGCCATGTGTATCTTTTACATATCCAGTAAATTTCCCTTCATCTCCATTGTTGATAAAGTGATATATAGGAAAAGGCTGCAGGGGGAGCCCTAACGAAATGCCGCTGGGAATCTTCCAGCACCTAGGCGTCATCCCACTGAGCATCTCACTTTGGGCATAGACATTTGATTGGTAGCTCATCCACTTAATTGTATTCTAGCGTATTGTTTCCACACTTCTTCACCTGTCCACAGGGATATCTTTAAATAATTTGCCAGAATTCTTGCTGAAGATCAGATACAATGTGTCTGTCTAATTTCCAAGATCTGATGTAGTAATCTGTCAAAGAATGAAATGAGGTTAGTCTGAAATGACTTGGTCTTATTGAGAACCAGGCTGATTCCTAATGATCACCTATTTCTAGGTGGTCATAAACCATCCTTTTAATCAGGGTTTATGCATATTCTTTAAAAAAAATCAAATGGTTGTAAATGTATAATTATAAAGCTAGTTGTTTCATTTTTAATATAAAAGTAGAACTATTTATCATAAAATGATGATATTTTAGGGAGACATTCTTTTTCCTCTGTGTTAATTGTGAATTAATGTCATATTAGAACTTACTGGCTCAGATGCTGGGGTCTTCTCTCATACCAGCTGGGTGTCCAACAACTCAATTCAGTTCTGACAGCAACTCCTGAGGTTAGTGCAGACTCCATGGGTTGAGCGCTCAGTCTTATAAGACTGTCCTCACCTACGGCACCAGGCGCAAGTCCTGGCAGGATGGTCACCTGTTCTTCTCACCAACCCGCTATAAATCAAGGTTTCCCCTAACTCCCTCCTGAGGTTTGATAAATTGCTAGAATGACTCAAAGTTAGGAAAACACTTTACTTATATTTACTGGTTTATTATAAAGGATACAATTCAAGAACAGCCAAATGGAAAGATGCATAGGGCAAAGTACAAGGGCAGTGGGTTGTCACAGAGCCTCCAGACTCTTGCTGGACAAACCACCCTCCACACCTCAATGTGTTCACCAACCTGAAAGCTCCTCAAACTCCATTACTTAGGGGTTTTTAATGGAGATTCCACTAAGTAGGCATGATTGATTAAATCGTTGGCCATTGGTGGGTGGGCTCCATCGCAGGCCCCTCACTCCTCCCTTGAGGCAGGGGATGGGCTAAAAGTTCTAGCCCTCTAATCACCTTGCTGACCTTTCTGGCAACCAGCCCCCATCTTAAAGCTATCCAGGGTCCCATGGGGTGTCACCCCATTAGCACAAATTCAGGTATGGTTGAGAGGGGCTTGCCATGAATAACAATAGATACTTCCCTCAGGAAATCCAGGGGTTTTAGGAGCTCTGTGCCAGGAACCACGGACAAAGACCAAATGTATTTTTTATTATACCATAAGTGCCTTAGGCCATCTGCAATCCAGATGTTTCGTTTTTGTCTATTAATGTGTCTAGTGTAGTGTCAGTTGGAGGGAGTGTTTCCAATTTTAGTATCAGTTGCATTAGGTCTATTAAAATTTAGTGTTTGGTTTTAGAAATGTACATATCATTGGTGGCTTAAATGGTTCATTTAAGTCTATGTATATATCTGAGATTGAATGTTCTCAATAAAAATTGAAAGGCTTAGGTACTGTTGTTTGACCACTTTGACTCATACCTGTATTTTTTAATGTATAGTCATAGCAAAACAATAATAACCTCCTTTTATTTAGTACAGAACCAGTTATGAACAGTTACTTTGCTAGTTGCTTTACAGCAGTGTCACAGAGAAGCTATTATTACCCTTAACACACATAATTTCATTGATAAGGAAGTTAAGATCCAGACTTTAATGCCACTCAGCTAGAAAGTAGCAGAGTTGATTTAATTTAGGTCTCTTGGGCTCCCAAATCTGTGCTCTTTTCATTACATCTGTTTCTCCCTATTTGCATATACACTTGACTTCCTGCCTTCAGATGAAAAGATTGGGTAAATGATATAATGGGATCTGTACTGGACTGTAAATGAGGCCTTTGACTAGCTAGCTGTGTAACTGAGACAAATTATTGGGTTTGAATTTTATTTTTAAAGTAAGGAGCTGACTAGATGGTTTCTGAGGTCCCTTCCGGCTCTAAAAGTATAAAACTGTAAAAACTACACATGATTACTTTGATAGCTGTTTGTTTTTTCATGTCTATCAATTATGTAAAACTTCAGAAAAGAATCAATGTACAACTTTAAAGAAAATATCTCACATTTTTTAACCTTTGACCTTGTGGCCCTAGGATGATAAATTTACCAAAGGCTTTCTTTGTATTTCAGACAGATTATGAGGGACAAGCCAAGAAACTCCTGGAATTGATGGAAAGCACAGATGTGATCATTGTTGCTGGAGGGGATGGAACCCTGCAGGAGGTATGACTGTTTTTCTCTTTGAAGCCGTTTTGAAGGAGAGAAAAATGGAAATTAGTCTTTAGAGCAGTGGTATAAAGTAGTTATAACTTAAATGAATTATTTCTTTGTAATTCATTCTTTCAGGATTGTTAATCTCTGAAACTAGTATAGCTTTAACTTTTTCTCATGCACTATTTTTCATTGCTTTTTGTAAAGCCTCTACCTAGCACATAGAAGGGTTTTTGTATCAAATTTAAGTTTGATAACACTGAATAAAACAGACAAAATGGAGGTGGGTGGGATAGGCTTGTTATGTTCTGAAGATTTGTATTAAGTAACCCTGTTTGTAATTAAATCATGTAGTTTCAATTATGAGGAATGTTTCTCATAAACATAAAGATTTCTTTTAAGAAAATACATCTATTTATTCTCACATCATTTCCATCACATACAGTGTTATCTCTTAATACTACATTATAGGAAGAGGTCTACATGTTCAGATGTGTGCACCCGCCTTTGTTTTAATATTACATATCCTCACTGAGATACCACTGTGCATCTATTAGAATGGCCAGAATTTCAGCACACTGACATTATCAAATGCTGGTGAGAATGTGGAGCAACAGGAATTCTCATTGATTGCTAATGGGGATCCAAAATGGTATAGCCACTTTGCAACAGTTGAGTGGTTTCTTATAAAACTAAATATGCTCTTATAGGATCTGGCAATTATGCTCCTTAGCACTTACCAAAATGAGTTGAAAACTTATTTCCACACAAAAGTCTGCACATGGATGTTTATGGCAGCTTTATTCATAATTGCCAAAACATGGAAGCAACCAACATGTCCTTCAGTAGATGAATGGTTAAGTGAGGTACATCCAGACAATGGAATATTATTCAGAGAAATGAGCTATCAAGCCATGAAAAGCCATGGACGAAACTTAAATGCATATTATTAAGGGAAGGCAGCCAATCTGAAATGACTACATCCTGTATGATTCTAACTGTTTAACAGCTGGAAAAGGCAAAATTATGGAGACGGTGAAAAGATCAGTGGTTGCCATAGGTTGGGCGAAGGGAGAAATGAATAGGCAAAGCCTAGAGGATTTTTTAGGGCAGTGAAACTACTGTATGTGATACTATAATGTGATGACATGTGGATACATGTCATCATACATTTGTTCAAACACACAGAATGTACAACACAAAGACTGAACCCTAATGTAAACTGTGGACACTGGGTGATAATGATATGACATTGTAGGTTCATCAATTGTAACAACTGTACCGCTCTGGAGGGGGATGTTGATAATGGGGAAGGGTATACAAGTATGAAGCTGGGGTGTATATGGGAAATCTCTGTACCTCCTTCTCAATTTCACTGTGAACCTAAAATTGCTTAAAAAAATAAAGTTTATTAATTAAAAAATTTACGTATCCTTAATGCTTACTTTGGTCCAATAAGGACATAATAAGTGTGTTGCCCTATGAGTGTTCTGTCTTTTCCATGCAGAAGACTCATGTATTAATCATACATCAGGAACTCCTAAAGAGCCCGATGCAGGTGGTCCTGCCCACTGCTCAGTTTTTCCATCCTGTATACTATGATATAATTCATATCTATACCTCATTTCTTTTTTCTTTTTTTGAGACAGTCTTGCTCTGTTGTCTGGGCTAGAGTGCAGTGGTGTCATTATAGCTCACTGGAACCTCAAATTCCTGGACTCAAGCAATTCCTCCTGTCTCAGCCTCCCAAGCATTTGGAACCATAGGTGCATGCTATGACGCCTGGCTAATTTTTCTATTTTTTGTAGAGACGAGATCTTGCTCTTGCTGAGGCTGGTCTTGAACTCCTAAGCTCAAGCGATCCTCCTGCCTTGGCCTCCCAGAGTGGTAGGATTATAGGTGTGAGCCACTGTGCCTAGCCAGTACCTCATTTCTGATTGTGTTTTGTCTCTTGGTGGTTTCATCAGTGTTTGGGAATTAGAAGCTAACAGTGGACAGGGTACTGTCCTATGTTTGACTTAGTAATTACGTGAGGCTTAGTAAGCTTCTTTTAAAAAAGGCTGTGCTAATGATCTTGTAATTGTTTTTATGGCTTTTTAATGAACTGTGAAGAATTGATAGCATGCCTACAAAGAATGAAATAGACCTCTTGACACTCCCATTTAATCCTCAAATTCATTGAGGCAGGAGAAGATAAAGGGAGAAGATTTAGGTCAGGCTTTACTTTACAAAATGTTTTTAAAGAAAGACACCAAATTATGCATTTGGCATAATCGCAGTCATGAAAATACGCATCAACTCAAAGAAGGACTGGGGTGGGAGGTAGTGGCTCACTCCTGGAATCCCAGCACTTTGAGAGGCTGAGGAGAGAGGATTGCTTGAGCCCAGGAGTTTGAGACCAGCCTAGGGAACATAGTGAGACCCCACCCTACTCACATTTTTAAAAAATTAGCCAGGCGTGGTGATGAGCGCCTGTAGTCCCAGCTACTCATGAGGCTAAGGCAGGAGGATCGCTTGAGCCCAGGAGTTGGAGGCTGCAGTGAGCTGTGAGGATGCCACTGTATTCCAGCCTGGATGACAGAGTGAGACCCTGTCTCTCTTTAAAAAAAAAAAAAAAGATTGGTGGGAAATATTCAAAATATAAACAAGTGATTAATATTGGCTATTATTTTATGAGAAATTATTTTTTCTTCAGGCATTTTTCACAGTTTTTACAATACTATCACCCTTGTCTTCATATTCGTCAATAAGAACCATTTATTTTGTGAATATTTCTCTGAGTGTAGCAGAGAGTGTTTTTCCTAGTAGTAAACTAGGGTCTTTTGTATAGTTGATGTGTACATCACATTTATACCCATTTTATAGAGCTTAGAACATAATTTACTAATATAATGTGGAGTTTTTATAACTATTTTATATTAGTCTTTATTATGTTACTGATACTAGGTCAAAAATAAAATCTAATTTAGCTCTGATTGTATTGGAAAATACTGTGGTTTAAGATACAATATATCTGTTAACAGAGCTTCTAAGAAGAAAACTGGAATAAATTTATGGTCCGTGAAAATTAAATCCAGTTCCTTTATGATAAAGTAAATACATGTTTATAATAATTTCTTTTTTTTTCTTCGATTGTAGGTTGTTACCGGAGTTCTTCAAAGAACAGATGAGGTAAGCTTTAAAGAAAGAGTAATTGTATTTTAGCTTTTACTTTTTTGCTTTTTATTGCTCTTTCTTTCTTTCTTTTACTTTTTTTCTACTTTATATTTTAAAATGGGCACAAGTTATGCTTCCTTAGATTTTAGAAAAGAAAATAGTGCTGCCTGTGTCATAGAACACATTTATTTACCCGTGGTGGACTTCTATAGTTTGTTAATCAAGGGAATCCAATATCTTTGACCAATAGTTGTGAAAGATATAAAAATTTCTCATGGAATCTTTTCTTCAAAGAATTCCTTCCGAAATAAATTGTGATATATTCATATAGTGGGAGCCATACAGCAGTTAAAATGAATGAAATAGATCTATAAATATCTACATGGTTAAATCTCAAAAGTAATTCAGAAGACAATACTCCATATTGCTAATGGATGCCTAAATACGTAGTAAAAGAATAACACTGATGGAAAGAAATCACACCAACTTTGGATAATGGTTTCTTCTGGGAAGGGAGAGGGAAGAATAGAATTAGAAGGGACTTTGTATCTTTATCATTTTATTTCTTAAAACATCTAAAGCAAAATGGCAAAGGTTAACATTCGTTAAATCTGGGTTGTGGGTACATGGGTGTTTGTAACATTATTTTATGCACTTTTTTTAATAGTAGTTTAAAATATTTCATAAGTAACAACAACAAAAAGAAGCTCCTTCTCAGTCCCTTTGTTAATAGCAGATTGTGCTCAAAATAGTCTGTAGGAACCTAACAGTATCTATCGTATTTGTGGCATTTAATTATATCAACTGCTATACCATTACCTGAACTTGCTTATTCTCTTTTTCCTTAGATAGCTTATAAGGCACCTTCATGTGTCATTTGTCACTGTACAAATGGTAGACATTTTTAGTTGAATTTTATTTGCAACTTTTTCAAAGTGTGACAACATATTACAGTCTCTGTTGCACTGGTGCAATGCTCTAATGTCTTTAAGACCCTCATTATCTTAACCAAATTTCTTTCAAGCAGTTACAGTTAATGAGTACTCAAATATTTCTTCCAAATTCTAAGTCATCTTGTTTTCATTGACTGCATCATTTTAGAAACTGCTCTGTTAGTTTTTTTATAGCTGGTCTAGGAATGTGGGAAAGGAGATTGGGAGGCAGATTCAAGATCATTTACTTTTTCATAGTGGACACACCTGTGCCTCTCCATTAAGCTTGATTTTCTCACCATAACAATAAAACTTTCTTCTTTTTTTCCCCTCAGGCTACCTTCAGTAAGATTCCCATTGGATTTATCCCACTGGGACAGACCAGTAGTTTGAGTCATACCCTCTTTGCCGAAAGTGGAAACAAAGTCCAGTAGGTTTTCAACGTGGGGTATTAGCAATTGTGCGTGGGTGAGACTGGGAATGAAAAATGTACATGTATGATATAATTTTTTTTTTTTTTAGTTTTGATAACCTAAAACATTAATTAAGAGGAGGACCTAGATCAGAGTTTAACCTTTCAGTTCCTTGGGAAGTTTCCCAGTTGGGTTGTGGGACTCTGATAATCTAATAATCAATTTCCAGGTCAGGTATGGAAGGGAATATTTGATGTCCTTTAGTCAGTTATGAAGGTGGTATCCTTGACCCAAACTGTTTTTGTGCTTTTACTTGTAAGATTCTTTATCGAAGACAGATTTGCACTGATCATTTGTTTGCTTTAAGTATGCATGATGACAGATATCAAGTCCCTTTTGAAGACTGAACCAGTAGCCTTGGCTTCATTGTCTCGATAATATAAATAGCTAAAACTACTAAATGTAGTCACATCCTTTTGAGATTGCCTAAAGTGGTAGGCAGTATGGACAAAGTAGAAAGGGAAAGCAGTGTAGCCCTGACATCTAAATTAAATTGCTGTGAGTCTAGGTGTCTTCAGAAGTCAGACAAATTGTTGTTATTGTTCTTTTTTTCTTGAAAGCACTATGTAAACAAAGCTCTACTCTTTCAAGAAGATAGGAATCTTGAATTTGAGTCCTGGCTTTGATAGTGTCAAGAAGATCTAAATAAGTGGAGAGATGTCTGAGGGATCAGTTGTCTGATTGTAAGCTTTGTGACACATTGGAGGAAGTCAGTAAATAAATATGTTGAATTAATTAAAATGTTCTTATGACTCTTCTAATTATAACCTTCTAGAATCGATAATAATAGATGATTTTCTGTTTTAAGGATCCTTTTTCCTGCTTTGGAATTCTTTGATTAGGCTGGTTTTTGTGGATGTATTTTTGCTGTTGTAATTTTAGGAGTCAACTGTTATATCTTTTAATAACTTTTTGTTTTTTTTATAAGAGTCTGGTTCCATATATCAAAACACTAGGCATGCACATGGATATATATCAGACCTTCATTCAAACATCTTTCATGCTTCAAACCTTAACATAATGGGGATCATTCAGCTATTCACCAACCATCCTGAGGCCTCAGAAATAGGAGAGGCCATTTCAATTGGCCATACTTTTTTATTTCCGGTTTAGAGTTTCTGAGGGGCAATAGATGATGACAGTGAATTACTCACATTTTTGCTTCTCCAAGATAAATCTTACCTGGTTTGGGTCTTGGTTACATTAGAGGGCTCCCCCCGCCCCCGCCATCCCCCTTATGTCAGTTTAGATTATCTGAGCTGCGTTAGCCAATATTCCAATAGCATGTCAGTGATACAGGCATGGACCATTTTCCTTGGAGAGCCCCTTGCCTGTCCGAAAGCTAATTTAACACAGACTGTGGCAACCTTGAGGGTCAGAGAAAGCCTTCCATTTTAGGGGAGATGATTTTCCTCTGTAGTTAAACTGTTGTTGCTGCTGCTTTTTATAACCTAAAAATTTATAAAACTTAATTTGTAAGCATGCCCCAGGGCTCTTAAGTAATCAAGTAAGTCTGTCCTAGGTTCAGGATTTTGTAGACCTCTTAACATAGTTGGTGCCTAAGGTTATTTGAAAAGAACAAGGCTTTGCTCTTGACACTGCTGTCAAGATTTGTTGTACCATAATTACTATGGAAGAAAAAATAATCTTGAATTTGGAATGTTGCAGGTAAATAATTCTGAAAGTGCTGTTCCATGCTACTGTGCAGCTTTATTTAGAACTTTCATTTACTGGCTGGAGAATGATAAATTTAAGGTTGCATTTTAGCTGTCTTCTGCCAAGCGATTTAGAAAAAAGATTTAGTATAAAAAGCCTTTTTGAGTTGTAATAGTTTTTTTTATTTAAGGTCAGTCTCTCAAAGGCACTTACTAAACCTCTCAACGTGCTAAGTACTGTTCAGAATAAGTGCTGTGCTTTAGAAGCCTTTCTAATAGCTTCCTTCAGAACTAATCTATTCATATCAAATTAATCTAAACCTGTGAGTGTGCTACTTGCTTTCTTCTAAACTGAATCTCAAATTCTAAAATGTTACCTACTTCCCAGGTAGCATCTGTATTGGAGGGAAAAAAGGATAAAAATGTGTTGATAGAAAAATATGAGAGAGAATAATAGTTCAACTTGCTTACTAGTGAAGCCAGAATTTAGTCCAAGAATTTGAGTTAATGTGTGTATTTTGGGGATTTTAAAGTATCTCAAGTTGTACTGCAGATGAGTTCCAGGAAGGGCAGGGAGGCTGTCTGATGTGGGTCCACTCATTCTTTCTGCTGCAAGAACAAATATCTTGTTGTTTAGCCACTAGTTGATTTAATATTCTTTTGTTGACTATCTGTTATATATTTGTGTGTGTCTGATGTTGGATCTAATAAAGTTGAAACTCCAGAAATGCTTCTAAGCCTGGCCTAGTTTCACATGCCCTGATGGATGTCAATAGTCCATGCCTTTGGATGAATATCATTTTTTTATCTATAGACTTTTCAAATGACTATCAGAATGTAGGTAAGAACAGTCTCATGTCTTCAAACAAGAAATCAGCAATTAAAATGAAGTATGTCCTAGTAATCCTGCAAAATAAGTAAATATGTCTTAGGTTCTGGATTATATTTTTCTAAGACAATGACAACAAGTCCTGTCCTTTAGTAACTCTTCTCTTAGACTAAAAGGAAATATTGTTTTCTGAAGTGGCTGAATTTCCTACAATTAATTAAAAAATAGTCATATCATTTCAGTGTCGTATACTCCAATGGTAAATAGGAGTCAGGCACAATGTAGAAACTCAATAAATGTTAAATGAATGATTGGTGCCTTGTATAACTGCTCTTTACCAAAGCTGCCTTTTTGAGTCTGTATCAGAGTCTTCCACTGTATTTGGTTAGTAATTCTTTTTTTTTTTTTTTTTTCTTTAATTTTTTTTTTTATTCTTTTTTTCTTTTCCTTTTCATCACCACAGAGGATGGTTAGTAATTCTTTTACACTCCTTTGTTCTGCTTTCTCTTTCAGTTTTTAAACACTATGTCTTTTTCCTGACCCAACTATTAGTACTCTGGGCAGGGGAGACAGCTGGGAAGGAGGTGTTGTTTATTTTTCACAACATGATCATTTCCTTCTCATTCTCTTTTAGGCATATTACAGATGCTGCACTTGCCATTGTGAAAGGAGAGACTGTTCCACTTGATGTCTTGCAGATCAAGGTAAAATATTTTCTTCAGATTTTGAAAACATCATCAAAGCAATACACACATATATGTTTAAAAAATAAAATGTAGCAATTCAAATGAGAATGTAATAAAAACAGCCCCTCTTCCTTTCCTATCCCAAGCATTACTCCCCAAAGAAAAATATTTTTCCTTTTTTTTTTTTTTTTTTGAGACAGAGTCTTATCTGTCACCTGGGCTAGAATGCCGTGGCATCAGCCTAGCTCACAGCAACCTCAAACTCCTGGGCTCAAGCTATCCTCCTGCCTCAGCCTCCCGAGTAACTGGGACTGCAGGCATGCGCCACCATGCCCAGCTAATTTTTTGTTTGTTTGTTTCTATTTTTTAGTTGCCCAGCTAATTTTTTTTCTATTTTTTGGTAGAGATGGGGTCTCGCTCTTGCTCAGGCTTGTCTCTAACTCCTGACCTTGAGTGATCCTCCTGCCTCGGCCTCCCAGAGTGCTACCCTTTTACTTGTTAATTGTAGTTATTATTACTACTTGACATGCTTATGATCCTACTTTTAAACAGTTGTAAAACATACATAATATTTACAATTGTAATCATTATACAGTTTAGTAGTGTTAAGCATATGATGCTACTTTTTGATTTATCAGTTTTAAACCTTATCTCTTGACTTCTTTGTTATACAGGCATACCTCATTTTATTGTGCTTCACTTTATTGCACTTCATAGATATTGTTTTTTTTTTTTTTTTTTTTTTCAGTCTGGGGGAAAAACACTTTCAAAGCACTCACAGCAACCTCAATCTCCTGGGCTTGAGTGATCCTTCTGCCTCAGCCTCCCGAGTAGCTGGGACTACAGGCATGCGCCACCATGCCCGGCTAATTTTTTTATATATATATCAGTTGGCCAATTAATTTCTTTCTATTTATAGTAGAGACGGGGTCTCGCTCTTGCTCAGGCTGGTTTTGAACTCCTGACCTTGAGCAATCCGCCCGCCTCGGCCTCCCAAGAGCTAGGATTACAGGCGTGAGCCACAGCGCCCGGCCCATAGATATTGTTTTTTACAAATTAAAAGTTTGGGGCAATGCTGCACCAAGCAAGTCTATTGGTGCTGTTTTCCTAACAGCATGTGCTCACTTTGTGTCTCTGTCTCATTTTGGTAATTCTTGCAGTATTTCAAACTTTTTCATTATTACATCTGCTACAGTGATCTGTGATCAGTGGTCTTTGATGTTACTATTGTAATTGTTTTGGGCCACCATGAACTGCACCCGTGTCAGTTGGCAAATTTAATTGATAAATGTTGTGTATTCTGACTATGCCACTGACTGGCTGTTCTTCCACCTCTCTCCTTCTCCTTGGGCCTCCCTATGCCCTGAGACACAACAATATTGCATTAGGCCAATTAATAACCCGACGGTGGCCTCTGTTTCAAGTGAAAGGGAAAGTCACTTATCTCTCACTTCAAATCAAAAGCTAGAAATCTTAATGCTTAATGAGGAAGGCATGTTGAAAGTTGAGACAGTCCAAAGCTAGGTCTGTTGTGCCAAACAGCCAAGTTTTGAATGCAAAGAAAAGTACTTGAAGGAAATTAAAAGTGCTACTCCAGTGAACACATGAATGATAAGAAAGTGAAACAGCCCTATTGCTGATATGGAGAAAGTTTTAGTGGCCTGGATAGAAAATCAAAACCAGCCACAACGTGTCCACAAGGGCTTCCTCGCCACCCAAGTCCGGGCGCAAGTCCTATTCTCTGCGTCTCCCTGCACCACAGTCCTGTCCAGGGGACACCTGGTCTGGCACGCTCATAAATGTGGTGGCCCTGCTCTCTGTTGTGGGCTCAGCTTGGAATGTGCATCCATGGTAGGAGAACAGCCGTTTGTGAGCTTCTGGATTCAGAGTACTCATGTGGTTGTAATGGGGGTGAGGGGGCTGTGTTTACCAGCCAGCCCAAGATAAAATTACTTTCTCTGATGCAATGAATGGAGGAGGTGCGGAGAAGGAAGTTTCTAGGTGTAAGAAATCCAGCACTTGAGTCTCTCATGGCACTCTCCTGTGGGTGTCCCTTTTGAACACCCAAAGTCCTGGGGTTTCCTGGTTCACCTGTTATTCCTATTTAGCTGCCATGCCTGGGCTCACTGCCGGTGGAAGTGCCTCCAGTGTATTTTGTGTCCCGCTATTCATCAAAGGGAGGGGCAACCCCCCTTACCCTTTCACTGGGCTCTGAGCCTCTCTGGGTTTGGTCTGCACTGCTGTTTTCTCCCCTCTGTCTTCTTCTTTCTCAGCCTCACAGTTTTTCTCGGTGGGGTCCCCAGACATCTGCGTTGTCTCTCCCAGTGATCCACAACTGAGCTGCGACTGTGAGTCTCTGCTCTCCTCAGTCCAATTTTCAACCTCTGGCCAGGACCATCTGACAAGTGATGTCTGTAGCCAGCTATCTTGGCTCATCAGCTCCCAATAGCCATTTTTGATTCTTGATCAGGCTTCTCTCTTAAAAAAGAATTCCTAAAAAAACAGATATTCTCACTTGGACAGTAGCTAAGTAGCTATTCTTTCATATAAACTCTTTTTTTTTTTTTTTTCCCCTAGAAAGGGCAAATTCCTAAGAAGGCAGAGCCATGAAGTTAAATAATGTTATCAACAGTGACTGTATACTTTACCCACATTTGGCCTTAGAACAGAACATTTTATATTCATTCATGTTTCCTGATCTTTGTGAAAGAAGGATCCAAACTGTGTCATGATTCCATACTTCAACCCTAAAAAGTCACTATTAGTTATATAGAGTTTGCTCTGTGCATATTTACAGTTGATGAACCCATGAGCTTGCAGCCCTTTATTTTCCTTTCTTCTTCATGCATTGATATCTAGATTCTCTACCATGACCTCATTGGTCATGATAAAAGTGATTTAAATTGCCATTGATTTTCTAGCATATAATAAAGCTAAATTGTTTTCATAAATGGAAGGGCTATACTGAAAGAAATTCTAACCTAAGAAAAGTACTACAGATTGGTATTTATGAAGATATTATTTAAGATATTGTTATTATAGTAGGACATAAGTCAGGATATATTTCTTAATGACTGATTTGCTGTTTCCTATATATGTGTTAGAAGTAACACATTCCAGAGTAATTAGAATTTAACTGGAAATTCATTCTGTGCTTGTATTGAAATGCTTTTTGTTTCTTTTATCTTTTTCTTTCATATATACTGATTTTTGTGAAGTGATGAAACCAGTATCAAATGTACTACAGGCTCTGTATATTAGTGACAGCCCTGGAGCAGAAAACTTTCAAATCAGTTCCTAGAAAACATGGTACAACCTCCTCTACTCTGGTTTCTGAGGAACCCAGCCAAACTGAATTCATCTTCTTTTTCCTTAGTTTTGCAAATTGCTTTCAGAATGAGGAAAAGCATTGGCAACAAAGCCTCATATCATAAGCATTGTAGATAAAGCCTCATATCAAATTTTTTTTTCTTTTAAAGAACAACCAAACCCCATTAAACATATGACTAAAGATTCTCCAAAGATAAAAGAAAATTCTTGGAAACTATAATGGTGCCTTATACTTAGTTTTTCACATGGTTCAGTGTGTGCTTACATCTCATTTGCACCTCTAAGTTGGTGAGGAAGTCTAGATGTATATGAGTATCCTCATTTGACAGATTAAAAAGTTATTTGATTATGTGACTGGTTGTGCTGAAGGTGGAACTAGAATCTAGATTTTCTTTGTCATGGTCCATTGCTTTTTCATTTCACTACTTTGTCCAGGTGGTGTCATACTAGGCACGATTCTGTGATTTTTAAAGGGCAGTTTGTCCCATATAAACATCTGTAATATCTAGTACTTGACTTTAGAGTAACTAGTGGAAAGATTTATGGAATTCTTTCTAGTTTTTTCTTTTTGTTTTTCTCAAGTGGACTCTTTTAGACTCTGCCAACCCAGAACAAAATAGGGTGTATAGGAAAGGTGATGAGGAGTCAGAATCTTTCCTTTTTCTCTGTCATTCCTGACTAATTACATGGACTCCTTCTTTTTAGATCCTGGCTCTGATCATTCCCTTAAGATGATGCTTGGAACGGCTTCAGCACTTCTTCAGAGAGTTCCTTCTAGCTTGGCTATTTCTTTTAATCTAGGATCTCTAAAATTCTTAAATTAGACACCTATCTAGTTGACAAGAATTACTTTCCTTTCAATGTTCCTTAAGCCTTTATTCTAACCAGCTCTCCTAATTATTTTCTTCCGCAAACTAAGAGGCCATTTTCTCTCAGAGATTTACTCTTTCCAGGGGAGTGTGTGAATTCGGGCAGCACATCTCCTTTGCTGTTAAGATCTGACTGTGTGTTTGTCTTCCCTTTTTGTTTTTGTTTGCTTGTTTTTGTTTTGTTATGGATGGACCTATCCATCCATAACCTGACTCCCTGCCCAGGCTGTCAGGGGGCTAAGATACAGTGGTACTTTGTCTGTTGGTTTCTACCCTATCCTTCTGACCTTGCTTCTTTTTACTGTGCTCGTGTGTACCCCAACAGGGACTAGTCTCTCCACAACTGACCCTCAGGCCTCTTCTGATTCCAGCTCCATGCCTGCGTTTTCACTGGGCCTCTGCAGAGCTGCTCACACATAGTATGCCTTGGTGACTCATTTCCTATTGCCCAGAGCCAATCTCACCCCTTGCTTAGGACTTAGCACTCCACACCAGTGGAACTTGGAGTTTGCAGGGCTTTTCAGTTAATTGTAACAGAATATTCCTAAAATGCTTCCCTCCAGTGAAGAATTTAGCTTTACAGCACCAGTCAGGAAGTCTTCAAGTACTTACTTCAGCATTTCTTGCCTACTCTACATGCTTTGGAACAGCATTTTCCAAGGAATATTAGTTATGCAAAAATGTCCTCCCACAGAAGAGTTGCACAGTTAACAACTCAGGAAAACTGTATATTGCATTTCCCCTTTTGGAAATTTATAATGTACATTATTAACATATTAACGACTCTAAGAACTGCAGTAAACATAACATGTCTTAAACCAAGTAAGTTTGGTATTTTTCAACTCATTTCACCATGGAATCTTCTGTCAGCAGCAGCAGCAGCACTATTAGATGTAATGCTTGTTAGCATGCTATGAAACATTTGGGGAAATGCTGCAGACAGAGCAAACCCACAGAGTGCTGTTTCTCTTAGTGTGACTAGACTAGAATGCACTTTCTTCTATATCTCTTCTTTCTCTCTAGTCCTTTCCAGCCTCCCCCATTCTAGGTAATTTCTTTTTTAAATGTTAGTCAAATGGTTCAAAGTTAAAGTTAGACAGGAGAAATAAGTTTTAAGATCTATTGCACAGCAGGATGATGGTAGTTGATAATGATGTATATTTTAAAATAACTAGGAGAGTAAGTTTCAAATGTCTCACGACAAAAAAGGCTAAGTAAATGAAGTGACGGATATGTTAATCAACTTGATTAAATCATTCTGCATTGTATACATATATCAAATCCCATTGTACCCCATAAATGTATACAAGTATGATTTGTCAATTAAATTTAATATTAAAATTAATCAAAGTTATGTTTTGTTTTAAAATTTTTGTTGTATTTTCCCTGACCATCCATCTTCTTTGCTCCTCCACCTGTTATGCAGTTGTACCTGCTTTCAACATGCCCTATAATCTGAATCTCCTACATTATGTTATTATTTGTGTCTGAGTCTGTATACTCCTCCACTATAGTTCCAGCTCCTTGAGAGCAAACAATGTTTTATCTCTGGTCCCTATTATATAACACACGTTAATGCTAATTCCATAACTAGAGAATGATTAGCTTAATATAAGTTGGAAGCCTGGTATATAAAAACTTGCCACACTGTTACTTTTCCTTAGTACTTTTGTTAAGGTAAATGTAAAGTGGGACTCATATTTAGATTCAATATTTCAGTTGTAGGTGACAGAATTAAGAGGGACAATGCGGAGCAGTAGTGGGGGCTGGTAAACAAGATAATGAGGCCGTAAAATCATGGAGGAAGAAAGAACTAGACATTTAGCTGGGAGAGCAGCATAAGGCTAAAGAATGGTTGGGAGCATTTTGAGGTAGGGAGTGTGTTAGTTTGTTCACCAGTGTGTCCTTGGCCCCCAGCACGATGCTTGGCTCAGAGTTGGGGTTCAATAAATATTTATAAGGTGAATGAGTAAAGCATATCTGTCTTCACATACTTGAGAGGTTACTGCTGTGGAATTATAGTGAGAGTAGGGATGCTTTTGATTCACATAGATGCTTTGCAAGGTTACACTGTCACCTCATTTTATGATTAACAACAGTAATTTTTAAATTTTATTAATTTGATTTTATTTAATTTATAAACTTATATAATTTTATATAAAATTTATATAAAAGATAATTTTATTTTATTTATAAAGTTATTTGCTTTTGCCCCTCACTGTCCTAGCAGGTGAGAATACAGTAGTGATAACTCCTTTTACACTCACAGGAGATCATGTGGAGAAGTTTGTTTTAATAGTAAGTAAAAGATGACCCTGTTTTCAGAGGTGGAAGCCAATGTTCAGAGTTAAGTAATTTGCCTGCGATTACTCAGGTAGCATGTGAGGATTCTTACTTCAAAACTGTTGTTCTAAGTTACTATGCACATTATAAATTTTTAATGGTCAGCACGTAACATCACTAGGAAATAATCTTTAAACAGTCACTTATACTTTGATAAAATCATCACTTATTATATCCAAAAATGCTAGAGTCATCTTTGACTCCCCAGTTTCAGTCAGGCAAGAAACCACGTTGGTTCTATCTTTAAGATAATACTCATCCAGAGAAGGCTTTCAAAGATCATAGGGAAAAAAAGTAAAAAAAGAAGAAAAGTTATATATAATAACAATAAAAAGATAATACCCAGAATCAAGCACTGCTTCTTCTTCTTCTGCAATTAACACCTGCCACAGCCACCTTCACTATTTGGACTATTACGGGAGTCTTCTAACTCTTATCATTCCTTCTGTCTTGCCTCCCTACATTTCGTTTCTCACACAATACCTAGCGTGTGGCCATGAGTTAGAGCACGTCCCTGCTCTGCCCAGAGCCCTGCAACAGTTTCCCATCTCTGAATCAAAGCCAGAGTCATTCAAAGGCCTTCAAGGCCAAACACAATCTGGTCCCTGTCACCTCTCTGGCCTTTTTGGATTGCTTGTGTCCTTCAGGCCTCTGTTCAGATGTCATTATATCAGTGATGTTTTCCCTCACTTTCGTATTTTACTTAGCAATCCCCCTCCCTGCAACATCGTTGAGGTATCTATGTTTTCATCCCACTTTCCCTTCTTCCCACTGTTTTAAGCTCGTCTATTACCGATGCATAGAGGAAGGACTAGAGGAAATCTTTTTACTGACAGCTAGCGTTCTAGTTCCCTCTTGGTTGCTGAGGGCCTGGTGCTGGCTGTCTGGTGGGTTCATGCTAGAGTTGATGGGATGCCTCCCAGGACCTGGTTTTCTGATGTTGGAGATGTGTTCTAGCACCACCCCTTTCAGCTCCTTAGCTCCCAGGCCTAGGACTCTCCACGGCCTCTTACTGCTTGAGCACCATGGCCCTCGGCCAGGCTGTTAGATGGCTACCGTCAAGATGACTATTAATAGTTTCCACAATATCCAGTTGGCACCCAGGAGACTAACATGTCCTTTCTGTGCCAGCCAGCAAGGGGCCTCACCTTCACCTCTTTTCTCTGCCATCTCTCTCTCTAGTTCCCTTTTCCTTGTTGAAGCAGGTACAGAGAGCAGAAAAGCAAACCTACTGCATGAGCAGATAAGCAACAAAAAAGCACAGGCCAGTGTCTTTGTCTTGCAGGTTTCTCCTGCTTGTGTGTGATTCTCCTAGAAATTGCCCACTTGGTTTTGGCATAGCAGGAACAGGAGTGAAGATGGGGTTTGGGGGAAGCACTCCTTCCCCAGGAAAAGGCACTGCATGCTCTTTCTAGGCCAGCAACTTCTGATGCATACAGTTCTCCTCCACTTTTTAATCTTCTGCTTATAACGGCTGTGATGGGGTGATAGCATGGTGGAAATCAAGTTGGTTCTGCCCCCTTTTAGCAAATTCTGTGGCGTTGTGTCTAGCATTTAGCGGCTGTCTGTAGAATGTGGGGGTACTTTGTGCCTATCCATTTTCAGTTCTTGGGCTTTAGCTGTACTTCTGAGCTACAGGAAAAATCCCATTCAGAATCCTGATATGTATATTATTTGTAGTTTTTAAAGAAGCTTTGTTGTAGAGTACAAACTCTTAAGGGCATTGGCTCTATTGTGTATTTGTTCTATATAGTGCATCATTCACTGATTTATTAGAAACTCACTGATTGTAATATACAATATTTGGGCATAAAGCATGGGACTAAAAACACATCACTTTGTATTTTGACTTGTGACAAATATTTGACTACACTTTCAGATATTTAGGTGAAACATTCTAGAGTACCAGATCTTATTTGAGAGCTTTTTTTTTTTTTTTTTATGAGACAGAGTCTCACTCTGTTGCCCAGGCTAGAGTGAGTGCCGTGGCATCAGTCTAGCCCACAGCAACCTCAAACTCCTGGGCTCAAGCAATCCTCCTGCCTCAGCCTCCCGAGTTGCTGAGACTTTAGGCATGTGCCACCCTGCCCAGCGAATTTTTGCTATATATTTTTTTAGTTGGCCAATTAATTTCTTTCTATTTTTAGTAGAGACAGGGTCTCGCTCTGGCTCAGGTTGGTTTCGAACTCCTGACCTGGAGTGATCCTTCCGCCTTGGCCTCCCAGAGTGCTAGGATTACAAGCGTGAGCCACCACGCCCGGCCACTTGAGAGCTCTTGACCCTATAAAGGGAGCGCAAACTTAAATTATCTTTGCCTTGGACAAGTATAGGAGAGAGAAGAAATTCTGGCTGACCTGACTACTGATTGGTCCGAGACCCAGCATAGTTAGGTACGTCTCACTTTATAGTCTGAAGTATGATAATATGTTCCCTTGCCAGCAGATTTATGAGCTCTAATATGTAAAAATTAGTTTCATTTTACAGTTTGGTTTATTCAAGTATTTTTACTAAGCACTCACAGAGTTACTTTTTTTTTTTTTTTTTTTATTTTGGAGACAGAGTCTCACTCTGTTGCTCAGGCTAGAGTGCCGTGGTGTCAGCCCAGTTCACTGCAACCTCAAACTCCTGGGCTCAAGCAATCCTCCTGCCTCAGCCTCCCGAGTAGCTGGGACTACAGGCATGCGCCACCATGCCCGGCTAACTTTGTCATATATATTTTTAGTTTGCTAATTAATTTCTTCTATTTTTAGTAGAGACGGGGTCTCACTCTTGCTCAGGCTGGTTTTGAACTCCTGAGCTCAAGCTATCCTTCCACCTCGGCCTCTGAGGTGCTAGGATTACAGGTGTGAGCCACCACGCCCGGCCAGAGTTACTTTCTTTTAAGTTTGAACATACATTTAACATTTTTGGTTTGATGAAAAGTAGGCCATGAATGTTTGCTTGGTACTTACATGTACAGAGTTCCCAATTATTGTAATCATGAATTTAATTAAGTGTATTTAACTCGCAGGGTGAAAAGGAACAACCTGTGTTTGCAATGACTGGCCTTCGATGGGGATCCTTCAGAGATGCTGGCGTCAGAGTTAGCAAGTAAAGGATTACTGTATTCATGTGTGATGATGTTTGAAAAGTCTTGTTCTGTCCCTGCCTTTGAGGTTTTAACTTACATTGATCTTCTGGGAATAAATTTGATGGGCCTGAAGGTTGAATTATGTATGAATAATGGAGACAGGAACAATCAGGTAGAGGTTTATAGCCTACATGCAGAAAGGTTGGGAAAAGTTCCAGTTTCCTAGACACTAGCTTGGTGGTAGCTAGCTAGAAGGGTATGTCTCTATTTTTAGACATAATATTTAGCATAGCTTAGGCTCAGGCTAGACTACCGGGAGAACTGGTTTGCCAGCAGGGCATAGTGGTGCGTGCCTATTGTCCCAGATACTCGGGAAGTTGAGGCAGAAGGATCACTTGAGCCCAGGAGTTCAAGGCTGCAGTGTGCTATAATTGTGCCACTGCACTCCAGCCTGGGTGACAGAGCAAGACCCTGTCTCTTAAACAAAAACGGGAGAGAGAGCAGCCTATCATCCTGCCGTGGGCTTAGGTGGGTACCAAGCAGAAGGTACTGCCTAAGCCCCGGTCTGTGGAGCTGTTACAGCCCTGGCTGAAGTGGCTGAAGACATCCCCTGAGAGGCCTTTTTTTTTTTTAAAGACCTTGCAGATTGAGAGACCACTAGGCAGCCTTTTTTAGAGAGGAAGAAAGGTGACACCTAGCTGTGCTGTGAGACGGGAGAAACAGGCCTGTTGAGGAGCTGATTAGTGGGCCAGTGCTGGTTTTTCATGGGAATGAACTTATTTTTGGAGAGTGCATTGTGTGAAATGAAACTCTAGGTTTGGAAAGAGGGTGTGTCACGTTCCATTTGCTGTGGAAAGGTAGTGCGTAGGCAAGGGCTTGCCGAGGAGGACTGATGGAGACCCTGTGTGAGGTTCACTTCATGCCTGGTGGGTGGTGGTCTTTTCTTTACCTCTTCTTAAAACTGCTGAGCACTTACAGTTTTAGTACAATTTACGTGAATTATGATTGATCTCACACATAGCTTTCATCAGGGTTTTTTTCAGAAACCCCTCTTTCATTTCATGGGCCAAAACCTGCCATACTTTCTTTACAGAAATTTCTCTCGCTGTTTCACTTTATTATTCTTGCTAGCGAAATTACTGACAAATGGAATGTCAAAAGAGAGATATTGCTGTATTATATTACACGCTGCATTCTTAAATATTTCACATCTTTTCATTTGCAAGTATGCCATGATTATGTTGATTCCACAAATTGCCTTATGTTTGATCTGTAGTCTCAAATCCCAGAAGCTCACTAAGAGGAATTGCTTAGTTTTCCCCCAAAAAGTCTGGTGAGAACAAATTGTTTTCTAAAATGTGTTAATCAATAATTAAGCATAAGCATAGGTCAGCCCTTTTGGGAGTATCTCTCATATTTGCCCTGCATTTCGATTGGTGTCTGAACAATGAATTTAAAAATTCTGATTGTTATTATGTAACACCTTAGTGTCCAGTAAGTTGCTGTTTGTGTTAATGAAGAAACAGTAGGTATTTCCTGGCTGGTTACAGGAAGAGTATGAGCACAGTGTCAAAACTTACTGGTAGAGATGAAGGGAACTGCTGACACTTTAGAAATAAACTACCTGAATTGGAATGTTTTTCTTCTTGGCTAACTGGGGAAAGAAGCAAACTATAAACTTAAAAAATAGTAAAACCCCCAAAATTAGATGATCAAGGCCCTCAGTAGTAGTATCATAATATTACCCTGAACAATAATTTAGAATGGTTCCGTATTGCCCACTGGATTATGTCTAAACTCCTTATTCTGGTATCCCAGGCCAGAATACTGTTATCATCCCATATTATGTAATTATGTGTCTTGGCTTTTAAGCTTTTCCCCTTTTCTCTGGCTGTTGTTTTTGCTGCTTGCCATAGTCTTGCTCCTCTTGCCTAGAATGGTTTCCTTCTCTCTTATGTATCTAAGGCCAACCCATCTTGCTAAGTTCCATACCCTCACTTTGCTCAGTGCCATTCATTTTATTAATATAAGCATGGCTGCTCCAATGATTTTAGGCCCTTAATGGTTTTTTGTCCTTTTTTGACTCCCCTTACCAATAAATAGTGATCAGTTTATACCTTGCCCATAGTCAATCATTGCTTTATATTACATATTTGGGCCTTATTTTCTCAAATCATAAACTCCCAAAAGCCAAAATTTTATACTCTGTATTTCTTCTGTTTCTTTCATATACATAGTAGGTGCTAAATAAATACATATTGATCAGAATCAATAAAGAGCTGTTAAGATGGGTGATTTGGTAACAGAGATAAGTTGTAAGGGAAGAATCTATTTTATGCCATTTTCTAATTCCAATTAGGCATCCTTCTCTCTCCAGTAGCTTTTATCTACTCATCAATATGCAATAGATCCTCTTTATTCCCAGATTTAACATTTGCCATTTTAAAGCTGTATAACATGAGTTATGTGAGATTGTGCTGATTTACAAATTTTAATTGCATATGTGTGTGCATTTGTGTGCGTGAGAGGACATGGTGCATATGATCCAGTCAGTTAGCTTGTGAGTGACACGTCAGATCACGCAGTATCTGCACTGCAGTGTGGCTTTGTCATCCTCTACTCATTGCTCTTTTCAATGTACACTGAGCCCTTCATATCCACGGGCTCCACATCTATGGATTCAACCAACTGCAAAGGGAAAATATTTTTGGGGAAAAAAATTCCACAAAGTTCCAAAAATCAAAATTTAAAAGCTGCCGCAGGCTGAGTACTGCACTGAATTCATGAGAATGAAGTGGTGTGTATTGTATTAGGTGTTATAAGTATATAGGAGAATGTGCATAGGTTATATGAAAGTACTACACCATCTCATATCAGGGACTTGGGCATCCACAGATTTTGGTTTCCTCAGGCGTCCTGGAATCAATGCTCCAGCGGACAGCTGTATGCTGAACTATATTCTGTGGTTTAAAGGATATAGTATAGTGATATTTGTAAATTTAGGCATTCAAGGAGACTCTGGTTATAGATCTTTTGTAAATTGCAAGAATCTTTCTACTGTATAACTAATTACATACCTTTTGACAAGGCATTGAAATGCAGATTAGAAATTTACTGTAATATTCTTTTATGAGAAGCCACAATCCTGTAGCTTCTAGAGCAGCCACTCACAGCAGAGGTGTAATTCTAATGTTTTGTCTGTCATGAATGGTGTCTATCACATTGATAGTTCTTTTAATATTCTAATCAGATTTTTGTTTTGGTCTTTCTCAGTTACTGGTATCTTGGGCCTCTAAAAACCAAAGCAGCCCACTTTTTCAGCACTCTTAAGGTAAATGCAATTTACATTGTAGAAACTTGCCCTGTGTTATTTTGTTGTTTTTCTGTGATGTGTGTATTTGGGACATTTTTTAACTCTTCGCTACAGATGCATGTGACATGCACCAGCACTAAAGTGGGGCATATTTGATTATGTACAAATACAGAAAGCTTTCCTGTTTGATGAGAGGTCACCGCTCATCTACCAACTCATTCCCTCCATTACCAAACTCATATTTAACTTCTCTTTAACATCCTACCTCCCTTTGCTGTTAATTCACTCACACTTGTCAGACAAACCTTGAACAGAATAACATATATCTCATTGATTATTTGTATGTTTGTCTATATTAGTACCTGGAAATGAATTAAAGATTTGTATCTAAATATATCTAATTGTACAGGTTTGTGTATAATATCAGTAGGTTTCAAACTATACTAGCCAAATATGGGTAGTAATTACTATATAGGAGAATACAGATTTTCATTGTCAGAGAAAGTTCTGTTGACCAGTGCTGCTCTATATGTTGGTTGACCAGTGTGCTCTATATGTTGGCACAGAGAAAATCTTAACAATTTATATTAATGAAAATGCTGATAGAACAGTCATCGTTAACTATGGACTACATACTATGTTAAGCTTTTATGCAAATCAAAATAGTATATTCACAATTTGGCCAGTCTGAAAACTGGCAGATGGAGTTCAAATGTAGTGAGAAGTTTGGATCCAATGTTAATATTCAGAGTTAGTGAGTGTTTTTCTAATTATAAAAGTAATGCATGTTCATTGGAAAACATAGCTCCTTTCACCTTCTTAAAAAATTCCAGTTGGATTAAAAAATTAAATGTAAAAACTAAGATCATTAAAGTACTAGAAGCAAATCTACATGATTTTAAAAATGAACTTGGGAGGAGAAGGCTTTACACATAAGGCAAACTGGATTAGTAAAATGTATTATTACTCAAGGGAATAATTTAATTGGTGCAGAGTAGCTACATATTTAAATGGTAGCATCTGGAAGAACATAAACTGTTACCACCATTTAATCAGCAAGTATTGATATACGCTTGGGATACAAAGTCAAATAAGACACGTTTCCTGTCCTCAGGAAGTATCCATGTGCGGGGAGAGAAGTACAAGTAAATCAGCAGTTTGGCAAGTGCTATAAGAGAAACATGGGAAGACTAAGATGGAGCAGAGAGGAGGGGTGGTCGAGGCTGACAGAGGGTCAGAAAGGTTTCCAAGGCAAGATGACATTTACATTACATTTTGAAATATATATAGAACTAGATAAAGGGCATTCTAGGTGGAGGGACAGGCTATGGGAAGTCAAAGTGGTGTGACATGATCATTAATTACAGTTAATGCAGTAAAATGGCAGGAAATGAAGCTAGAGGTGAGATAAGGTTAGGGAATGGCAGGTTTTGATGTGAAATTTGACTTTTATCCTTAAGCACTGGGGAGTTATTGAGTGTTAAGCAGAAATGTGACATGAGCAGATTTGCATTTTAAAAAGTTGTTTGGCAGCAGTTGGGACAAGAGATTGGACATGGGTAGCTAAAGGCAAGCCCATCAGATAGAAGATAAAGTAATCCAGGTGGGAAGTGATGAGGTATAGTTAGTCTGTAGTTAGGTGGTAACAGTGAGTATTGACAGCAAAGGACAGATTAAAGAGCTATTGTGTTAGAACCCTCAAAAGTTGGAAAAGTGTAGAATTGAAGAAAGATGACGTTTTCATATTGGTACATGTTGAGTTTAACATAACATACCTGGAACACAGACAAGTGGCGATAAGACTGCGATGTAGGTCTGGGCTGAAGAAATAGATTTAGATGTTTTAAGTGTGTGAATGGCTTTGAAACTCTGGGTTTGGTGAAGTTACCATTGAGAAGAGATGGCCAGGAATAGCCCTGAGAAATATAAACATTTAAAGGACCACAACCTATGACTGAGAAGTGCTAAGAGAAAATGTAGGAGATAGTACTGACAGACGCCAACAGAAGAGAGAGTTTCCAGAAGCATCGGCAAGGACTAAATACAAAGACAGGAAAGTATCCATTGAATCTGGCAGCCTCCAGAGTGTGGGGGCAGAAGCTGTATTGAAGAAAGTTAAGAAAGAAGTCTGAGGTAAAGAAGTAGAGATAGCACGGTTAGGCCACTTCAAGAAACTTGACTTTGAAGAAAAGGAGATAGAAAAGGCAAAATCTAGACAGAAATACAGGGTCAATGGAATATTGGGGTTTTTTTTTGTTTGTTTGTTTGTTTTGAGACGGAGTCTCGCTTTTTTGCCCAGGCTAGAGCGAGTGCCGTGGCGTTAGCCTAGCTCACAGCAACCTCAATCTCCTGGGCTCAAGCAATCCTCCTGCCTCAGCCTCCCGAGTAGCTGGGACTACAGGGATGCGCCACCATGCCCGGCTAATTTTTTCTATATATATTAGTTGGTCAATTAATTTCTTTCTATTTATAGTAGAGATGGGGTCTCGCTCTTGCTCAGGCTGGTTTCAAACTCCTGACCTTGAGCAATCCGCCCGCCTCGGCCTCCCAGAGTGCTAGGATTACAGGCATGAGCCGCTGCTCCTGGCCTGTTTTTTGTTTAAATTGGAGAAGTATCCATGTCTTTACCCTGAAGCAAATGAAAAGAAGCATTGAGAAGAGGTGAAGAGAAAAGAGACAGCATAATTAAATTAGTTAATCTGTGAGCAGGCAGAAGGATCTGGGATCCAGAGGACCTGGATGAGGGACACCTTTTTCACTGGTAAAGGAGAGAAGTAAGAATAGATTCAGATCGAAACAAGAGGATAGAGAGTTAAAAAGTTCTCACTGATGTCCTTGATACTCTCACTGAAGTGCAGGAAGCAAAGTGTCAAAAATGAGGTAGGTTGTGGGGGCAGTTTGTGGAGCTGTGAAGAAAGATGAATGTGGAAGGAGGCCCCAAAAGATTACCAAGTGGCACTGAGGACCTGAGACCAGGAATGTGTAGTGACACTAGTACGCTCCATTGGGTGGTTGCTTTTCCCTGTATCTGTACTCAGTAGGTGCATTTTTCCCCCCTAGCAATACTGATCCATGCTGTGGAGTCAGAATTGGGTCTTTTTAGGGCACATGTTATGCAAGAATAAAGACAAAGGTGGGCCAAGAGTAAATGGGAAAAGAAAGCAATTTAAAATAATCAACTATAGATTTGGCCCTGAAGGAAAATGAGTGGTAAAGGATCCTTAATGTGATTGAAAACTTAGTGTTGTGGGGATCTATCAAAATAATATCCCTCTCTTCCTCTTCTGAGTTGGAACCAAGTTGTGAAAACAAATGGAGGAACCAGGCAGATGGAGATCAAAATGTCAGCTTTATAAATGTCAGCAGGAGTGAAGCACACACTAGACACGTCGTCACATTCTGATCTTCTAATACTCCAAATTGAACTTATCCAGTGAAAATGGCTCCTCCTATGCAGAGACCAGCACAGTAAGCTGGCTTCATGAGGAAGAGGGAATGTGTGAGCCTCGAGGACAGCATTCTCTCAGAGAGAGGAAGGAAGGGCTGGGTCCGTGCATTCGTCCTTCTGGACTTGGGGAGGAATGAGTGAGCCGTAGAGTAAGAGAAGCCGGAACTGTCACTCCTTTGTGATTCTCCCCATGGAAACTTGAGAACAGGGGAGCAGCTCACCCTGAGAGACACTGAACATAAGAGAATCAACCTGGAGAATATGGGATGTGATTAGAGTAGGATGTCAGGATTTTAGATTTCCAAGATGGAATAGTTCTGGGTGACATTACGGGCCACGGATGTGACTGGAAATGGGTGGCTGTGGTGAATTAGAGGTGGTGTCAAAGGCCGAGAGGCTGCCTCCAGGGTATGATTTTACTTGTTCATTTGGACACTCCTGCAATCCAGGATGGCCCTGGACTTGGGGTGCCAGGAAATAGAAGACAAAACATCTAGAGATTGAGGAGGATGGGCTTTGAAGCAGAAGTGAGAAGCCTTGGGCTGGAGTGTGAGGCTGGGCTAACCCATTTTGGCCTGTGTGTGAAATATGATTCCAGAAGTGAAGCAGATATTTGATGCAAGTGGATTTCATCAATTTCATTTTTGAATCACCATGTGTAAACCAAAGATAAATTTATTACAGGAAGATTCCATGCTCATTCATACTGATTTGTTTCTGAAGAAGTGTAGATGGTGGTTGTTAGCCCACTTTAATCTGTCTGCTCTGTGTTAGGGAAAGCACTGGAGGCAGCAGTCGTGGGGTTCATGGATTTCAGGCAGAGCTTTAACAGGAAGAGAAAGCTTAAGGATTCCATGCTCTAAATTAGAGAGCATCTATTCCATGAAAGGAGATTTTTAATTTGCTTTGTAGCAGATATTGGGCTAACTTCTGCAGGGAGAAACCCCCAGAATTTGGAACTGTGTATGCATGACAGAAGTTCTTTTCTCTCCACATTAAAAGGAGTGGCCTCAGACTCATCAAGCCTCTATCTCGTACACGGGACCTACAGAGAGATCTCCCAGTGAACCAGAAGAGACCTCTCCCCGGCCTTCCTTGTATAGGAGAATATTACGAAGGCTGGCATCGTTCTGGGCACAACCACAGGATGGTGAGCAATGCGGTGACTGAAACTTGGAGAGCCCTGGTCCGTTTAGAATTGCCCTAGAGCAGACCCCCAAAATCAGTTTTAGAGACTTAGAGCAGGAAAAGCCTTTTGAGGATCGTTGTATTCAGCCTTGTGTGTACTGCCAGAGCAGGACTCATGAACGGACACTGCAGTCTCTGTGCACCCTCTTTATGTTATGGTGACTGCTTTTGGTAGAGATGTTTTAGGCACAGGGATTCCATTTTGAGTCTGGCTGTTTACAAGAAGTATAAAGTAAATAAAACTAAAGTTGAGAATGACCGTAAAGGCTTGGGAAGCTGAGCCGAACAGCTGCAGCTAAGGTGGTGGTGGTGGGTGGTGAAATGTTAATGGAAGAAGTTGACCTGTATCTAATGGATTCCCACAGCCCCCTCTCAAGAGGTGAGCCCAGAGGTCTGGAAAGAAGTGCAGCTGTCAACTATTGAACTGTCCATCACAACACGGAACAGTCAGCTTGACCTGACAGTAAGTGTGCTTTTTTTTATTAGAAAAGCATTTGGTATCTGGGAAAAGTGACAAAGGCTACATGCTCTTCCATTAATTCAGTTATTTTTATTTTTACCCAGTGGGGATACAGTGGAAAGGGTCATGAAAAAGATGATGTGGTGTGTCTTTAAGGAGTAACAGCAATGAGAAAATGCTGGGACAGTCCCAGCACAAATGCTTTAGGGGCTCTGATCATGTGTGCTGCTCGTTGTTTAGGTGGCCCTCAGGACTTAGGGCAGACGGCCTTTAGGAATGAAAATTGTTACTGGAATAAAAAATTGTGTAGCTTTTACTTGCATAAATATCCATTATTTTTGTGTCCATATTAAATATGTAGCTTTAGTTTTCCAGGAGAAAAACACACACATCTATTACTTACATATAATTTTATTTGGGTCCAGTCTATAGATATGCACTGTCCCTTACAGTAGCTATAAGCCACAAGTGACTACTTAAATTTAAACTAATTTGAATGAAATACAATTAAAAACTCAGTTCCTCAGTCACACTCACCACATTTCAAGTACTCACAAGTCATATGTGGCTGGTAGCTGGTATATTAGAAATCACAGATATAAAATTATTCCACCAGTACAGAAAGCTCTGTTGATAGCCCTGCTATAGACAATACACTTAAAAATGACCAAATAAAGCAGGAGTTGGCAAACTGATCTGCCACCCGTTTTTGTGTAACCCATAAACTAAGAATTGATTTTCCAATTTTAAATGATGGAAAGAAAATCAAAAGGAAAATAATTTTTTGTGACACATGAAAAGTATATGAAATTCAAGTTTCAGTGTCCATAAATAAAGTTTCATTGGAACACAGCCATATTCATTCATATACATATTTTCTGTGGCTGCTTTCATGCTATACTGGCAGAGCTGAGTAGTTGCCACATAGACTGGCCCCAAAACCTAAAACATTTACTCTCTGGCCATTTACAGAAAAAATTTACTGACCCCAGCATTGAGAGAACCTTAGTAATTCATATTAATGAGAATGCCAATAGAAAAGTCATTCTTAACTGTGGACTAATTACTATATTCAGCTTTATGCAAATTAAAGAAGTCTGTTCACATTTGTCCCGACCAATCTGAAAACTGGTAGATGCAGTTGGAATATAATGAGAATAGAGTATTGAGCTGTTTTATAATTAGAAAAGTAATACATGTGCATTGCAAAACATTTGGAAAACAAAGTTCCCGTCACCTTTGAAAAAAATTTCACTTGGATTAAAGAGCTAAAAATAAAAAAATAAAACCATTACAGTACTATGGACAAGGCCTTTCTAAGCATAACATCTAAGGCAAAAATCATACTGAAGCCTTTGTTTACTTATTTAAAAAGACACTATAAACAAACTTTTGAATGACAAATTGTGAAAAATATTAGGATGTGATAGACCCAATAATTAATCACTTTCTTTATAACAAACTTTTAGGATAAAACAGTAAGAATTGGGCAAAGGACTAATGAAAAAAAAATGGGCAAAAGATAAGAATAGAAAATTCATAAAAGAAATAAAAATGAAAAAATAGCTTATACTTGCTGAGTATTTACTATATGCTAGGTACTATCCTAAGAATTTTATATAATATTAACTTATATTAGTATACCATCAGGTAGATATAACTCTTATCTGCATTTTTTAGGTAAGGAAACAGAAAAAGTACTTGATGTTAAAGAAATGCAAATTAAAATGTTAACTATTGAATTGTTGTAGATTAAAAAGCATGATAGTGCTTCATACTGGTATGAATGGGGAAGTGAACAGTGTCCCATCTTTCTGATGGTAATATAAATTGAAACCCCTTGTCTTGATGGCAGCTTGGTAGTATATATGAAGTGTCTAAAATATATGCATACACCTTACCCTATTAAGTGTATTTCTAGGAATTATCCTACAGAAATAATCTGATGAATATATAATATAGGCAGTCCTCTTTTACATAATAGAATTTGAAGACATTGGTGAAAGTAAGTATATGAAGGTTAAAAAAATAGATTCTGTTCCAGAGAAAGTTAAAAAAGATAAAATTCTAATTATACATTTCCTTTATACCCAGTCTTTGATAACATGTATTCCTTATATTGTGTTCATGTTCTTTACCATTGTTCTTTTCTCTGATGATTGAATACCACTGAGTGCAGTGAGGATATGATTGCGGCTCAAGATTAGTCACGTTCAGAATGCCAAGTGCTTTTTATCTCTGTGCCAATTATAAAAGTATATGATATGGGGCTTCTTATCACTAGTAGCAGCACATTCATTTTTTTCTTCCACACTTCTTTGTAAAAATAAAAGCAAATGCAATAAAATATTCAAAGACAATGAAGCTGCCATGTAATAGTTCATAGTGTTCACTTAGCATTAAAAGAAGTACATTCAGAATATGAAAGAAGCGTTAAGAATGTGGAATGTATGAAAATTAGGATCTCTTGTACAGATATATTCACTGTACTTACTATAGTAAAATATATGAAACAAGCTAATCAGACTGATTAATTTTTGGTACATCTATTTAAAATAACATATATGTTATATACATATATTTATATATGTATTATTTTCTATATGTGGCCTGGAAAGAAAAACCAGGTTAAAATTATTTGCATTAAATGGTTCTGTTTTTGCTTAAAAAGGAAATACTCCCACCTATAATTGAATTTTGTGAATGATTGAGGTAAGGCTCTAATTTTATGTTCTTTCCAAATAGAAAGCCAGTTGTCCAAGCACAATTTATTGAAATGTCCACTCTCTCCCATCCATCTTCAGTAATCCTCTGCCATACATCAAGTGTCTATATATACATGACTGTTGCTAGTCTCTCCTGTTGTTCTACTTTTCTATATTTGAACTGATAACTCATCTTCTCTTAATTATAGTTTTATAATAAGTTCCTCTTTTTCTCCTTTTTAAAGAGTCTCCACTCTTCTTAGCTCTTTTGACTTCTATAAATATTTTAGAATATTTTATTAAATTCCACATAAAAATGTTATAATATTGATCTGGATTACATTGTATCCATAGATCAATTGGAGGAGAAATGACATTTCTACAATATTGACTCTTCCAGCATATGAATGTGTTATACCTCTTCATTTATTTAGGTCTACAGAGTTTTTCAGTGAAGTTTTATAGTTTTCTCTATAACATTCTTTTGCTGGATATATTCCTGGTTATCTTAATTTTTTGATGCTATTATCAGTAGTATCTATTAAAATTTTATTTTCTCACTGGTTTAGATGGACATATAATTGATTTTTTGTATTGATGCTGAATCAGCAACGCAATTAAGTTGTTATTTATTATATTAAGTTTGTCTGAATTCTTTCAGATTTTCTACGGATTTAGTCATATACACTGTAAAGGGTGCAAGTTTTATTTTTTCCCTTCAAATACTTACTACAATCCTTTCCTTTGTCTTACTGCACTGACTAGGACTTCAGTACAGTGTTGAATAGAAGTAGGGATAACCAGAGTCATTATCTTATTTCTGATTTAGAATTTGATGGTTTTTTTGTAGGTAACCTTTGTCAGATTAAGAAAATCCCTTCTATTTTCCGTTTGATAAGAGGTTTTATCTTTCATCTTAAATGTCTTAGATATTTAATTTTATCAAGTACCTTTCTAGCATCTATTGAGATGATAAAAGTTTTCTCATCTGTCAGTGCAATAAAGTGAATTGATTTTAGAATGTTAATATGAGACTTAAAATGGAGCAACAAGCAATAGCTTTACCTTTATACCTAAACACTTTAAAAACTGGACAAACTCTATGAAACAACCATTGACAGACACTGGTATGAAACAAGCAGTGTAGGACACTGAGTCCAGAATGAAGGGAATCAAACAAGGTGGGCCCTACGCCTGCCCCAACTTACTGCTGAAGAGAGGCCACACCATGAGGACAGGGAGCCCAGACAGAGCCCAGTGTTCTCCCTTGCTTGGGGGGGGGCCTTTGAGAATTTAGGGAAATCAAGGCAGCTAGAATTGCAGGCAGAATACAAGAGAGCTGTATGGAGAGATGAGAGCTGCACTAAGAATCAAGACAGAGGTCTGCAGAGATTCCTCAGGAGCAGGGGTCCTCATACTTTATAAACAGGGGGCCAGTTCACTGTCCCTCAGACCGTTGGAGGGCCAGACTATAGTTTAAAAAAAAACTATGAACAAATTCCTATGCACATTGCACATATCTTATTTTGAAGTAAAAAAACAAACGGGGACAAACACCCGCCTGTGGCCCATGGGCCGTAGTTTGAGGATGCCTGCTCTGGAGTCTTTAGCTGAGTACTTACTCGGGCAGGCATGTGAGAGACGGCCCGAGATGGAGAAAGGACTGCCAGTGAGGGATAATCCCAGGAGCTTCAGTCGTCATGTCACAGGGCCAGGAAGAGTTCATGCCCCAACCAGTTGCAGTGGAAAATCCTGGTCAGACATGGGGCAGTGAGTAGTGTCTTCAGAAAGGTATTGCCTCTGGTGGGTCAAAATTAGTTCCAGACTAAAGGCTGCTCTGTTCCCTCCTCACAAAGCCAAAAGGCTAACCCCCAAAGAATCAAGTTTCCAAGAGCTTAGTTGTACCTCCAGAACAAAGCTTAAGAACAAAGGACAGCTCCTAGGCCCAACTGTCCTGCTGCCTGTAATTGTACAACTTTCAAGCTAAGAATGTTCCTTAACATTTTTAAATAGTTGAAAAAAATAAAAAGTATTATTGTTATGTGTGAAAATTACATGAACTTCAAATTTCAGTGTCTATAAGTAAAATTTTACTGGAACATAGGCATACTAATTCATTTAAGTGTTAGCTTTGGCTGCTTTCAGCCACCACGGCTGAGCTGAGTAGCTGTGATAGAAACCTCAGGGTCTACAAGCATAGAATGTTTACTTTCAAGGCCCTTTATCGAAAATGGTTGCCAATCCCAGGCTGAAGCCTGGCTCTCCTGAGGTTCTGCTTTCCCCGTAACACCTTCAAGTGGTAGCTGTTTCTCTCCCTTCATCCCTGGCACACTGGGCCAGGTGACTCCTTGTCGCTGCTTTAAGGCATTCTTCCTCCTTCCCCCTAAGGCTCTCCCCCACTTCCAATGTCTTATCATCAGGCCAGATCATTGTTCCTGGCCTCTCTTGAATGCTGGGCCATTCCTGGTCTTTGCTCTATGATGTTGTTTCCTGGCTCACTGTCTCTCTCTGCAACCCCTCTGCAATACTACTCCTATCTTAATTCTCAGCACAGCAGCCAGAGGGATCCTATTAAAGTGGATCCAGATCAGTTTTCTGTCCTTAGGACCCTCCAGTGGTTCTCCATGTCACTCAGCCTAAAAGCCAGATTCTTCCTTATGGTCCGTGAGGCCCTACTGACCCTAGCTCCTCTCTTCCCTGTCTTCATCTCCAACTGTTCCTGTCCCTCACTCTGCTCCAGCCACACTGCCTTCCTTGCTGTTCCTTGTATGGATCAGGCATGCTTCTTCTACCTTCAAAAGTGGATTGCTTGTCCCTAGATCAGTGGTTCTCAAAGTCTGGTCCTCACATGGCATCAGCCTCACGAGGAACTTGTTTGAAATGAAAATTCTTGGGCCTCACTCCAGAGTTCCTGAACCAGAAGCTCTAGGATGGGTCCACAATTTGAGGGTTTTTTTTTTTTAATTATTTATTTATTTTTTATTTTATTTTATTTTTTTTGTTGTAGGAGCTTATTGTTCTTCTGAATTAATTATTTTTTTAAATTAACAAATAAAAAACAGAATCTGAGTAGAGTGTGGGAACTGCTGCCCTGGATAATCTCACTGCTGACCCCTGGCCTCCAGGTCTCTGCTCAGAGGCTACCTCCTCAATTGCACCCTCCTTACAAATGTACTCACTGCCATCAGTCCTATCTTATCTTCCTTTGATCTCATTTATTTATTTATTTATTTTTTTGAGACAGAGTCTCACTCTGTACCCTGGGCTAGAGTGCCGTGGCATCAGCCTAGCTCACAGCAACCTCAAACTCCTGGGCTCAAGCAATCCTTCTGCCTCAGCCTCCTGAGTAGCTGGGACTACAGGCATGTGCCACCATGCCCGGCTAATTTTTTCTATATTTTTAGTTGTCCAATTAATTTCTTTCTATTTTTGGTAGAGACAGGGTCTCGCTCTTGCTCAGGCTGGTTTTGAACTCCTGACCTTGAGCAATCCGCCTGCCTCGGCCTCCCAGAGTGCTAGGATTATAGGCGTGAGCCACCGTCCCCGGCCTGATCTCATTTTCTAATATTCTCAAATTAGTATTTAGTATGTTTATCTAATATAGTCTAAAACTTTTAGTTTTAGTATATTTATCCAATATATAAAGTAGATAGAACTATTAGTATATCTATTATAAAAGTATAATAGATAAGTATAAAGTATAATAGATACTTTTAGTATATTTATCTAATATAGTCTAAAACTTACCGTTTTATTATGATTTGTTTATCCTCTTCATTCTCCACAGTGGAATGTTAAGTTCTTTGTAGGCAGAAATTCATGTTTGTTCATTGATGTAACCCAAGCACACTGAAGAGTTTATGGTACACAGTTGGCACTTTGAGTAAAACCATCCACTTTATGTTTTGTAATTCCTAGTTAAGCAATACAGAGGTGCTCTGGTACTGCCCTTTGACCTTAGGCAAAGGCCTGTGGGTTTTCCTAGGGCTAGGTTTTTTTGTTGTTTTGTATTTTTTTGACACAGAATTTCACTCCGTTGCCCTGGGTAGTGTGCAAGTGGCATCGTCATAACTCACTGCAACTTCAAGCTCCTGGGTTCAAGCTATCCTCTTGCCTCAGCCTCCCAAGTAGCTGGGATTATAGGCACATGCCATGATGCCGAACTAATTTTTCTATTTTTAGTAGAGATGGGGTCTTACTCTTGCTTAGGCTGGCTTCCAACTCGCATGCTCAAGCAATCCTCCTGCCTCGGCCTCCCAGAGTGCTAGGATTGTAGGCAAGAGCCACCATACCCAGCCTTCCAGGGCTAGATTTTGTACTAACTCAAAAAGAAACAAGTCCTCTAGTTGAAGCAGACATAGTTGTGGGAATGATGTACAGAGTACTAGGTTTGCATCACTAGCCACTGACTGGTACAAGAACCAAGTGTGTTTTCACAGCCACTTCCTTGTATTTCAAATCTTCCAGAGCTTTCTGTGGTTGGAAATAGGTTTTTAAAATGTTATCATGGAATAAATGGATTGCTGTTTTCAAGTCCAGTTGCACACCAGATTTTTATGTAGAGCATTTAAAAAAGCAGACACCTGAGCTCCCCACACCAAGCAGCTAATACTGTGGTCTGGTGTGAAGCCGATGTACCGTGAGCATTGAGTCGCTAGGATACAGGGGCAGAAATCTTGGCCTGCAGGGAAAGGAATCCTAGAGGCTAGAACAGCTGCAATTACTAGTGAGTGACAGATTGTCCAAACATTCTCCCCACGTTTTTATTTTGCTTATGTAGTAAAAACAAAGCACTATAGATGAATCTTATGTAAATTATATTTTAGTAAAGCTCTTAGTGGGGGGAAAAAGGGCTGAAAATATATTCAGAATTAAACCATTAGAAGTAATGTCCTCTGCATAATGCACAACTTCAAGATATGAACCTCCAAAGCTGAGGATGACAACAGGCTACATTAGCCAAAATTTTAAGATTAGTGACATTAGTGTTCTTAATCTTTTTAGAGTAAAGAAGACTTTATGAACATTTGCATTGAGCCTGATGCTGTCAGCAAAGGAGACTTTATAACTATAGGGTAAGTGGGCTGGGGTTTGTAGGAAATGAGGCCTAAGTAGTCTGTTTTTCAGACTTTATTATATTATTCAGAGTGCCCCATGAAGATCCAGTGAAGGCCTTGTTTGGGAATTCCGACATTCTTTTTTCCTATGGGCTGATGTATGCAGGGCCCCTCTCCCACTGTGGCCATACCTGTTCACTGTGGGAAGATCAGACTGTTAAAAGCTGTCTTTGCCTTTCAGCGGAAATTAAAGAATCCAATGTGGCATGGCAAAGCATCAAGAACTTTGGTTTCAGGGCCAAAGCGCCTAATACAAATTTGGATTCTGCCACTCACAGATGTCATGACTCAGATCATTTAACTTCTCTGAATCCTTCTCACTGTAAAATGGAATAATCTAATCATCACTACCAATCTTAGGACTGTTTTTCAGTCTCAGATGAGAGAATGTGGTTGAAAAGTCTTTTTATATTGCAAAGCACTTCACAGTATCCGTCACTATTTGTGTCAGTTTGCTGTGTCCTATTCCTAGTGCGTTAATGGAAAACTTGAAAAGGTATTGAGTACCTTGGACATTTCTCAGGCATTGTTCCCATTTCCAGTACAAAATACCCTTCCAAGTCCTGTCTGATTTGTTAAGCCCTACCTCTGCCAGAATCTTATTGGTTAAGAATACTATAAATTCTCCACCAGCCTTCAGAGCATCTGGGGAGCTGGCGTGTTCCCATGCCAACTGGGAATCTGCTCAGGGCCGATTCTCTATGCTTTGTCTCAGAGCTCCCTCTTGTGCCCGTTCAGGGATTAGACATTTATGCTGCAGTGGCCGGGTCTCCATGGCTACTTCATTATCGACACTAGCAGCAGAATGGCTTTCATTAGTTGGTTCTGTTCTTGGCTTTTGGTACAAATTCTTCAGATGCTTAAAGCTGACTCTCCAGGCTTTGATTACTTGCTGTAGCTGGGGTGAAGGGAAGAAGGGAAAAGCCCGTCCCACTTCTCCTATGCAGTTTCCAAAAACCACACAGTCTTATTTGAGAGCTGGCCAGCAGGACCAGCTATATTCAAATCTCCATAATGCATCCAAAAATAGGAAAAGAACCCAATTTACTGCTTAAGTTAGGCAGAGTCATCATGTTCCGCATGGTCAGCAGAAGCATAGTGTCCTTTTGGTCCCTACAGGAAGTGAAATCAGTAATGTCTGTTTCCTTGGGACATCTGAAGAGGATACTGTGAAGTTGCTTTTGAAAACTCTGACAGTTTCATATGATGAAGAATTACTGTTGTCCATGAATGAAAAATAATGGCCTAACTTACTTGGATTCGCTTTTACTTTTTGTCTGCTTCCCAGGACTAGGTGGAGTGTGTGTCTGGTAGTTTTACTCCACAGCCATTTAGTCAAGGTAAAGAGACAGTATGCCAAGTAGACTGTTAATATTAGTACAGTCATCCCCAGTATCCGCAGGGGGATTGGTACCAGGACCTCCCTTGCATACCAAAATCTACAAATACTCAAGTTCCTGATGTGATATGGTATAATATTTGTATATAACCTATACACATCCTCCCATATACTTTTAATACCTATTACTATGTAAATACTATGTAAATAATTGTTATATAGTACTATTTAGGGGATAATAAGAAAAAGAGTCTAGATATGTTCACTACAGATGCAGTGTTTAAAATAATATTTTTGATACTCATTGAATCCACAGAAATAGGCACCATGGCTACAGAGGGCTGAACTACAGGGAATCGTCAAAGAAATTCTACTTTAAATTAGAATAAAAATATTTTCTCCTTCAAGCAATAATCACAAGGAGTTCCAAATGATGGAAGTTTAGTGGCTTTCCTAAAGAATTTAATTTCATTAAATTCATTAATTTCATTTTTAAATTTGAGATTGAACAGCCTAAGAATTAGGTACATGTAGACTGACTGAAAAATAAAGTCACTGAGTTTTAACTCGATGCAGAGTTCTCGACAGCAAGTGAGCCTCCTCAGTCTAGGATATATCACAATGCTAAGAAACAATCATTGTGGGGAAAATTATTCACAAAACTCTATGGCTTCATAGGCCATCTGCCCACTAATTTAACCATATCGGAGAGGGAAAGAACTTGCTATGCTGTTATAACCTAACGCAGTTGCCATCACTGGTTTCAAGCTTGCTTTCTCTGTACCCACAGAAGTAAAAAGGTGAGAGACCCCAAGCTGCATGCCGAGGGCACCACGTGTCTCCAGGCCAGCCAGTGTGCCTTGCTTCTGCCTGAGGTGAGTGCGGGAGCAGAGGCCAGTGGCCCCAGTGTTTGGTTTTTCCTTAGTCTGTTTGCCTTTCTGTTCCTCCCTCCATCCTATTAACTGACTAACATTTAGGTGCCCATCACGTGCCAAGCATTTTGCCAGGTTTGGGTCACACTTACTAAAGGACACCTAGAAAGGATGGCAGAATATCCTTCTGAGTCATGGATTTAGAGTTGGACTCCTGAAGATTTCCACTGTCTTCAAAGTTCTTCTGTCAAGTGATTTTTAGGGCTCCTGAGCTTTTATTTTTCCACAAGTATATAATGCAAAAGGTTACTGTATTATTTAATGCACAGAGAATTCTCTAACAAATGTTCATAGTGGGCTTTCCTTGAACATTTTTTATAAAGGATCTGGAAGAAGTTTTCAGTTCAGCACTGAATTTTAGAAGAATAATGTCTGAGTGAAAAAAAGTCAGAAATATGTGAATTCTAAGGTTTTTTGATTAGTAATGCCTTGGGGGAAAGAGGGGGGCAGCCGCTGGTCAGTGGGCAGTTTACTTGTGTCCAGGGGGACACCCTGAGTAATGGAAGACAAAGTAGGTGACACTGTTGGCAAAAACTGGTTGGGCAGCTGCTGTTGGGAGCTTCTGGCATCAGTTGGGCACACGGTGGTGGTGATGGGAGGTCCCCAGAGTAGAAGCTGGATAAGCGGGGGGGGGGGGGGGGGGGGGGGGGGGGTGCTGTTCAGAACAGGAGAGGAAATGGAAGAAGAGGAGGAGAGGGCATAGAGCACTGGCACTGAGTGAGGGAAGGTGGTGGGCAGTGCACGCTGGGCCAGGGAGGAGGCAGACATTGAGGAATGGCTGTGCGAGCCCTGAGCTGGGGCTGAGGACTGCTCAGGGAAGCCTGGAGGCTGGTATTGCTTAGGGAAGACTGCAAGGATGTGTGGCTAAAAGGTGAATGAAGTCCTAGTGCATCCATCATAGCCCGGCCCCAGGCCTCCACTGATGCCCAGGTGGGTCATGGTGTGGGTCAAATTGGAGGTATTGTTTTCCCCCAACCCCTGTTCAGGTTAGAGAAGGTAGTCTCCTCAGGGTCCAGGGGTGTGGGCAGCAGTGGGGGGAAGACATGTGGCGATTATACTACTCTATTAAAGCAAGACTGTAGGTAAATAGAAAGTATCCCTATGGTGATTGGCACTGTAGTTTCAACACAGCAACTGCTGAATTAAATGCATGAGTTACGGAAGGATTTCATAGACTCTGTAATAATGTTGGTATACCTTAGGTATAAGCCAAGCAAGTCTTAGAGAATAATGAAAATGATCCAGTGGATATAATGGCTTACTTTCTCAATTTTCATTTGAGAAAGATTAGGGCCAAGAAGGACCATATTATCTTATGAATTCCTTAAAGATGTGACAGGGCCCCTGGCTTTTAATATTGAGATTTGAACAAGGTTATAATTTTCAAAAATACTCTGGGAGGAAATGGGGCCAAAAAAAAGAAAATCCATTATCATGGATGGTAGAATCAGGATGTTTCCAGAACCAGCACTGTGAAAGAACATTAGCATAAATCCTCACAGAAGACGACGTTTTCCATAAGGAACTACTCAGGTGCTGCTGTGGTGAGACTCCCAACTCAAGTAGGCCATTGATGTGGGTGCAAGCTGTTCTGAATCTTCTCTCCTCCACAGGGAACAGGGGGCTCTTTCAGCATTGACAGTGAGGAGTATGAAGCGATGCCTGTGGAGGTGAAGCTGCTCCCCAGAAAGCTGCAGTTCTTCTGTGACCCTAGGAAGAGGGAGCAGGGGCTGCAGAGCACAGCCCAGTGAGCAGGTGCTCCGAGGCCGCACTTCAGGCCACCAGTGGGACCAAAAGGGAACAGGTGCCTCAGCTGTCCCAGCAGTGCTGTCAGAGGATCCCAAGGGCATTTTCGTGGCAAGTACCCCTCCGCCTCCCTCCAGCAGTGCTTCAAGGTGTACTCTGCTACCGCTTGACACTCAGCTTCTGCTAGAGCATGCTTTTATTTTGGTGTTAACAGTCAACCCTCCTAAATACTGGTTTTCCTCAGGCTGGTTCAAGTAGTTCTCACATTCATTGGATGGAAAAGGGCTTTCTTTTGTTTTGTCCCCAAGTGCAACCACAGTGGAGAGCAGGCTCCTCAGACTGTGCTCCCCGGTTCCTGCTCTGTTAAACTGTCCAGGGATTCCAGGGGCAGTGCCGCCTTTCCCTGGCTACCCTTTCCTATTCCTACGCTCCTCCGGGGGTGCTGCTACTTTGTGAGCTCGGTTCTTGTTAGCTTTCATTTGAGTTCTGTCCTCAATCCAGAAACATGTGAGGTGGTTTCCCTCTTCAGCCATGGCTAAGATACTATAAAATGCTAGTTTGCATGAGAACCACGTGGGGTGCATGTTGAAAACTGATTTACTTGGGGCCTACCCCAAACTTGGTAACTCAATTTGGGGATGGGGCCTTAAAAACTGGCCATTCTTCCTAAGGAGATTCTATAAGTGGTCCCTCAACCTTATGTGGAAAAAGTGTTTTACAGCAGTCGCCCCTAAACTATTCTGCTCATGTACCTCCAAAGTATTTTGAAAAATCATGTATTTCCTCACACATCTAAGTTAAAATTTTTCATGGGAAGTTAATAGTTGCCAAAGTATGTACTTTCTGGCGTCATGTAAATATTATTTTAAAATAACTGTTATATCACTTTTAAACATATCCAGTATAATTTAGATACCATACTAATTTGACACCCTTCATTCATATATAAAAATAAATGAACTAGTCCTTTAGTAGAAAATTTTAAATTGGCTTTTCTATGATTTCCTTCCCACATTCAGCAAAGAATCATAATGATATATTTTTATGCTTGACATCTAAATACAGAACAAATGTTATCGTTATTGGTATACAATTGGTGAAAACAATATTAACATGATTTTTTGATCATTAAAAATTAACAGAATGTTCTTGGATAAATTAGGATAAATACATGAATGTTGCTTATAGCTGACATGGGGTTCGACATCAATTATATTCCTTGTTTCATTTCTTTATCGATGTAAGCACATAAATAAGTAGATAGGAACAGAAAAAACAGTGTCTTGGAGTTCCATGGCAAAAATCACAGTGCTCTATCATCAACTTGATTAGATCCTCCTTTAATTTGCTGAAAGCAGAGGATGAAAAACCACCTGATATGCTAAGGTTTTGTTAGCCAGTCATTAGCATCATTTACTTTTAACACTACCATTGACATTTTCCTTTTAATGCCCCTGAGGTTCTTATATTCCAGTGGACAGTGCACCGAGGAAGACAGAGGAGACCTAAGAAGGAAAACTGAAAGGGGAAGTGGGCTAGTAGAGCTGGCAGGCCTTGGCTACAGGCTCACTCAGGCAGATCCATTTCAAGACAAAGTATATGTACCACACCCACACAGAGTAAAGACCAATGCTTTAATGCAGTGGTCCCCAACCTTTCTGGGACCAGTGGTGGAGCTCAGGTGGAAACATGAGCGATGGGGAGATGCTGTAAATAAAGCTTCGCTCACTTGCCCATAGCTCACCTCCTGCTGTCCAGCCCATCCTAACAGGCCATGAACTGGGCTGTAGCCCAGAGGCTGAGGACCACAGCTTTAATGGATTATAGCGCAGCTATGAAAAGTCTATGAAGATGATCGCAAAAGATAAGGCTTATTTAGTTCTATATTCTTCAGAGCCTTGTTAAAAGCTCTGCTTTTAGCAAAATAATAACGGGTGGGTCCAAACATCAGCCTAAAGCTCACCCACCCCATACCACCCACAGTGTAAGAAAACAAGATTTTACATTAACCAAGAGAATTTAGCATATCATGGTTCTGTAACAGAGTGTAGAGGACCAGTACAGAATCTAACTTCTTCCTTAAAAGGCTACCATTGTGTGTGTATGTGTGTTAGCCCATGATTGTAATGGCACATATGCTTATGGAAGGATATTTAATCCTCATTAAGAATCATTCATTTTTCAATATAAATATGCCTTGTTTCAAATTTTATTTTCTTGAGTCAAGCTATTTCCTGTGAAGGCTTGGTTTCCTCACTGTCAACTGCTTTGCTCTTTGTCCTATCCTTCCTTCAAATGCCTGCATAAAAGACAACCAACGCCAGAATGCTGAGCTGTCCAGAGGAGAACCTGGGTCCCCTTTTTCCTGTTTCATTTCACTCAAAAGTGAAGATTAAAAATATAGTAGATGGTTTCTACAAGATACAGTTTAATATAAAGTTTTCCTTTGCCCCAGAGCTGATTTGCATGTACAGTTATAATAACAGCTCTAGGAAGCAGGTGCAGGTTGAGCATCACTAATCTGAAATCCAAAATGTTTTAAGCACTGACATGACACTCAAAGGAAATGTCCAGAGTATTTCAGTTTTATAATGCAAATGTTCCCAGATCCAAGAATATTTTAAATCCATAATGCTTCTAGTCCCAAGCATTTTGAATAATGGATACTCAACCTGTAATATTTTATGGCCACATAGCTCGGAAAGCAGGAACCTGGCTTTGAACAAAGTCATTTGATTCCAGAGCCACCAATGTCAGCAATTTATACTAATTTTAAAGAAGTATTGTAAATCCTGAAGAGATTAAAAATGGAACTATACTTTAGAATACACACAAACACACACATATACCAATACATAATGTCTGAAAACTAAACTTTGATGACTAAACTTGATTTGTGAAATCAAAAGGCTTCACAGTCTCTGTGAGGTGGTTCTACAAGTTTCCTGATGTGACTGAGGGTGCACAGTCCTGGATCTTCTGAGTGGTGTATCCCCAACTTTGGTTCCCATTACCTGAATGAAGTCTGTCCAGACCATGGCCTCCAGAAGGGCAGGTAGGAGCTCCTCGGTGTCCCCGTCCTAAGGGCTCATGGGGTGGGCCGCCGTTCCTTCCTACCACAAACCACACTTCTTGAACCAGGCAAAGGATTGCAGCGCACATGTTCATGTTAAAGTGTGAACTTTAATTGTAAAAATCATTTTCTGTAAATATAGTTATATCAACCTCTCTGCACACAACTTGGTTCAGATATATACAGATATGATATACATACATGTTTTTTTGTACCACAGAACAAAATCAATTCAAGAAACATTTACTCTTAGCTGCAGGGTTAACCCCAACTTTGTTTAGGCCTTTAAAATTATCACCATGAAAACAAAGAAAGCACAACATACCTGTATGCAGTAGTATTCAGGGCAAAATTTATGAACTGTGTTTCATAATATGAGGTAAACACTTGAAACAAAAATAGATTTAGTTTCTCTTATTGCTATAACTCTTATGCTAGGGTATTGATCAAAATAAAGTTTTTACAGTTAAGGCGACAGGGAGGCTATGCTGATCCTAACTCAGAAAAAATAGGAAAACAGTTTTTCCAAGGCTACAACTATTTCGTTTTTAGGACAGGTTTATCTCCCAGACCTATTTGAAACAATGTAGTCAACAAGCTTGGGGTAAATAAAGGAAGTTCATTTTGTTTTTCCTCTGCTCTCTACCCCTAAAGTCTCCCATCCAGGCTGACTGTTCAAAAAGCACAGATCACCGCCATCCTTCACTCAGAGACTTTGGGGGCATGTCAGACCCAAGCTTTTTTCTTCCTACAACCACCCTAAAACATTTTTATATATTTTATCTTTGCTTAATTTACCCAAAGGAAGAAGTTTTCACTCTAATGCTAATTAAACATATTTGCAACTCTCCAACTCAATTACCCCTGTGTGGACTTCTCATTTTGTGGATCATCTGTGGCTAATTTATAACACCCTGCCTTACCCCCGCATTCCTCACGTGTCCTTACCAAGCAAAGTAAACTTTGTGTTAGTCTAAATAAGCATCCTACAGCAAACATAAGCAATTCACACCTACTTTACTATAATTAAGTAAAAATTCTCAGTTTAGGTCATATTAGTTCTAAAAGCCTATGCTATGCTGAAACTCTAGAATAAATTCTAAAAAGATGGAAGCAGGGCTTTATTTCTACATCATAATTTTTCATCCAAGTGCCCCTAAATTCCAGCTCCAAAGATGAATTAAAGTGCTAGTTTTAAAACTACCTCCTACTCCCACCTCTCTCCAGCTGAATAAGAGACATAATAATCAGAAGGATCACGCTTACCCCCTTTTATACTAGAGTTTTACTTAAGGTTGGTGTTTGTATGTTCATCTCCTACAGAGCGTTGTCAAGATTTCACAGTCACCTTAATTCACTCTGTGAAATACTGACACAGTAAAACTTCTATGGGGTCTCAGCTGCTACCAAATTATAAAGCTGCCCATTTCTTCCAGGATTATAACTTTGAGATTTCCCTCCATTTCAGTACCTGCATATTCAGTTCATCACATAGTAGTATTGATATAAAAATAAACTCCCATTTCTTATAAGAAAACATTAACTTAATTCACAGTTAGCCTTTTCCCATAACACACAACACTCCAGTAGCTCCTGGGAATAGAGGTATATTAGTAATAGAAATAGAATATTAAAAATCCATGCCTTGGGAGTAAAAGGAGCCCTTAACTCCTCCTCTCCCCCTACCTGAATTGGAAAAGGGTTTTCCTAACATGAGAAGGGATAGGGCTGGGGCTGGGCCTGCCGAGGTAAGCCTTGGGCTCTGCAGGATTCTCACCTCAGGGTACAACTGAGGAACAGCAGGGCTGGACACTTCACAGATTCCAAAGCCCACTAGCCTGGGACTTAACAGGGAGATAAGCCCATGCCTGGCATGTTTATCCCCATATTACTTTTCTTGCTCATTTTAGTACTGTCATACTAAGACAAGTTCACTGTCAAGCTGATTATCATAATTTCAGTCATCCGTCCCCTCCACTCCGTCCTTTAGCTCTCCAAGGACAACCTACACTGGGACTGCAGAAAACATTGCAGTCCATTCCCTGGGCTGTGCAGTTTCAAAGGGGAAAAAGTGGCCCTGGGGCCCCTTCCTCTTCTGGGAGGGTTGATGTCCTACCACTAGAAAGTTAATTCATTACTGCCCTTTACAAAGGTTCCCTGAAGTCCTCAGTTTAAAGGTAAGTTCATCTTTTTATTGTGTGTGAAGGGTTTTCAGTGTATCAAGACAGAGCAAATTCATCCTCATAGCCACCAGAATGAAAAACAATGATTTATCTTCTAGCTAAAATATCATAAGTAGTTTCATGATAAATGAATCTTCACATGTGACATCTGGGATTATCTGCACCTGTGTGCTACTCTTTCCCATCCTGATTTTCACACAGAACAAAACAAGTTATAGATACAAGTTCCTATGTTAAATTATTTCTATAGCTACATGTCAATGAATTGACATGGAAGAAGAGATGCCATAATGGATGATGATATGGGAAGGAATGCCTTCTAACTCATTGTCCCAGGTGAGACAGTAACATTGGAATGGATCTACACCCAGCTTGAGGAATGCTTCATGTTTAACTAATGCCAAGACTAATTCTAAACAAATTATCTGGCTCATTTTTAAGTCTGGTAGGAGATAAGCCCTACCATTTCTGACTCCTTATGGAAAAAGAGTTCTAAGCCAGGAGACAAGTGGACATTTCCCCAAAGGCTGAGTACTACTACCTGCTGAGCCTACAAAACTGAAAACATCCTCTTTAACAGGCCTTGTCATATTTTACATGGATACCAACTCCAAACCTGGATTCTAGTCCCCATAAGGAATCCAACTTATTCGGGAATGATAGGGCAGCCCTGACATTACAGGCCAGCAAGTATTTACAAGTTAGCACATGGTTCACAGCATGAGGCAAGGCTTAAAGCTCCCCAGGAGGACTAAGTATAGCCAGGAGAGGGGTGAAGCCCAACAGCAGAGAGGAGCAGGAGCCACTCACACACCCTAGTTTCCAACCCTGCTCCAGGAGGTCAACGGTGGTAATGATACCTGCCCCTAAAAGAGCTTACAGGTGCAGGATGTTCACTACCCTTTTCCTAACAAAAGCAGATGGCTTTTCAGAAAATATATCAAGAGTGACAGAAAAGCAGGTCCACATGGCTCTTAGCTTCTGTTGTCACTTATGGAGGTATCCCCACCTAGGACCTCACAAACCTACTCCCCTTGTAGAGAGCTGGCAGCAAACGACGCTGGGTTGTGCCTGCTGACTTCCAACGTGGGGCAGTAGTTTTTTACAGAACCAACCTTCAAAAGGTGACCTTGAAAGTAACTTCACAACCCAAGCAAGACATACTCGGAGGACGACAACCAGCGACAAAGGTAACCTAAGAGATAATGCACCTGCTGTTCAGTCATGCAGAGTCTCTGTGCAAGATTTCTGGCTCTATGAAGAAGGTGGCAAGGCAGGGAAGGACTGATTCCTTGGCTTCCCTCTTAAAGGGAGAACTTCTGTTTTGGGGTCAGCTGAGCCCTGGCCCCTGTGACCTAAGACATGGCACTGCCTTCCTGGGACATTCTCCCCGAGGGCCACCTGTACCCTGGCCCTCTGTGTGACTGTGAGGGTAGACACATGGAGATGCCAGACAGACAGGCAGGTAGAAAAGCTTGACATGAGGAGGAACCCAGAAGTCCTGACTCACCATTCAGAGGAAAATACAGGACCCTCATCTTCATCCTATTATCCTTACATTAGTTTTTCTGAGCTTGGAGTTAAAGCAGCAAGAAAACAAAAGTGCTTGCACGCAGAAGGCTCAGGAGTAAAAATGTTTAAACTGGTGTACTTCCAGCAAATTCCTGGATACCAGACAAAAAGGGTCTGCCTATGTCCCCCAGAAGAAGCAGGCCTTTCCTTTCAACCTACTCCTGTGTCTAATCACTCACCCTCAACTGAGGACCCTGAGCCTCAGGACCATTAAACCATCACCTGCCCCAAGTTAGGAAGTTCCCCCCAACCCTTGAGAGGCAAGAGAGGGTTGTTCATAAAAGGGAAGAACAGGTGACGCTACAGCTTCTAAATACAGAATTTTTTCTTTTGTAACCATGTTACTGAAATGATAGCTATTAATAAACCCACACTACAAAAGAGAAAAATGTATTAGTTGTACAGTTTATATTTCAATGCCCAAACTTATTTATATATTTACATAAAAGATCCTACCTTGATTAATTGATGTCTATTTGCATTTCCACATGTGAATTCCTTCAGTCTTGAATTCCATATCAAGGAGCTACAGTGAAAATACTCTTGAATAAAGCAATAAGCCCTAAGAACCTCGTCTTGAGGTGAGACATGCAACCCATCCATTTGAAGGTTATCTGTCTGTTCTGGGCTTGGTCAGACACATGGACGCATCTATGTCTGTTCCAATAACAAACCAGGCAGAAAGGTGAAGAGGAAGAAATTGTCACAAAAAACCAGTATCCCAAGTCGAAATTCTCAACTATGGTGAAAAAGGCCTAAACTCAACTCACAGGAGCTGGCTTTCTGACTGACAAATACTGTCTCGCTTACGCTGCCATCCTTCCAGGCAGGTAGCAATAGGACCCGGCCCAGACCAAAACACCTCAGAAGAAGGTGGATAAACTCGCCACTGACACTCAGGTTCCGGACCACTTTCCTAGATGAAGGCACTGTCACATTTTCTAACAAATCTGTTAGGTCTCTGGACCCAGTTACCTCAGCCTAAAGAATGCTGCTGCTGCTGCTAAGGAAAAGTTTGTCAGGGCTCCAAAGTAATAAACAGACTTGTTAACATCACACTCCAACCTCTGAGTTAAGCAGCTCGGATATTTTCTATGCTCTGAGATCCAGTAAATCTGTGTTGATCCACAGGCACTGCTGCTAGTGCCTCTAGAGCACTATCGTCCCAATCAAGAAACTTAGAGCTGCTTCTCTATGTTGCTTGAACCTCAAGGGCGCTACCTTTTGGGAGTCCAAACTCTGCCCTTTAAAAATACCCAAATTACTCCAAGAGGATGTTTAGCCCTTAAAAGAGATTAACTTGTAAAATGACTTTGCTTGCAAGCTCCAAGGCCAGCACTGGCCTTTAAGGAATTCACCAACCCATCTCAAGAGGAGGGGTTCAGAGAAAGAGGAATATTCCACTGAGTTCCCATGATTAAGTTACTTTGAGGAAGGTTTCAAGGCTTCATTCTGCAATTTTAATTTTCACCTCACTGATGAGGAACCTTTCCCTGTCATTCTGTCCTTAAGAGACACTGATATTTGGTGTAAGAAATATCCTTTTGTCCTTTTGTGGTCCCAACTCAAGTGAACAGGGAAGACAGAGTTGCCCTGGTGAACAAGAAGAGAGATCTGATCCCTAGACTACTGACTTTTACAACTGACAGAAACCTTGACAGGTCATTTGGCCTAGTTTCCACCTTTAGGCAGATGAGTATCTAAGGCCACATTCGACAGATGGTTGTCTTATTCTTGAATATACTAAGGGACAAAGACCATACATACATTCTGAACAGTCCATCCCCAGGTTTCCAGGGCTCAGCCCGCTCAGAGTGAAACAACTCCTAAGACCAAAGTCAAAGGACAAGCAGCTCTAGGAGAAAGTGGCAGATTCCAGTGCCCTACACCAAAGCAGGACACAAAACCAGGGCAGTCTTACCTTACGTCTAGGTTCAAAGGGCAGAAAGGAAATTACAAAAATTACATTAGATGGAAAGTATAAACAATATTCCTTTGTGTAAACTTAATAAAAAATGAGGCCCTTTAGGGTCTGGGGTGAACTCCAGGCTGCTGTCACCTCACGTGAGTGGCTCTGTAGCTCTGTGTCACTCTTCCTATGGGCAACAGGGGTTGTCAATGACCAACATGACATCGATGCCATAGGCCTCCAGCAGGTCCATGAGAAAGCTGCGGTCTCCTTGGGGGTCCAGACCCATGCCCCGGGCATGCTCTGCTGTCAGAGTTTTGTCTTGACTGGCAGACACCTCCAACAAAGTCTGAAATATCCGGTTGTTTTGTTCTAAGAAAAATCTGAATTGGCAAGACAAGACAGAGGAAAGGGAGGAAAGAAAACAAAAAAGTTCAGCAGATAATCCACACAAAGAGAACCAAAGCTATACTGTTTTAATATGCTTTTTAATAGCTTCAAAAATAAATCAAATGTATCCTTTAAAGGAAGAAAACAGAGTGAAAGTTAAACAATTATTAAAGTGCTATTAAGGTTAGCAATGAAACCATTTGACATTAATCACAGTATGATTGGAGAAATCTCCGAGCATGCAATGGCCTGGTTGCCAAAATTTCATTTTCCTGGTAAGAGGGAAGTTACCAGGGTTTAAACACAGCCTCAGGGAGTGGCCCCACACTCTGCTTTCCTCTTTCCTCAGCTTAGTCATAGGGGGAAGAGAAAGGGGAGAAAAAAAAAAAAAAAAAAAAAAACTTGGTAATGTAGTTCTGAGGCCAACCAAGACTTAAAGTGAGAAACTGAAATTCACCTTCAAAGCCCTGGATAGGTAACTAGAGCTAGCAACAGGAGACGAGCCTTCCTGAGAAAAGAAGGGCTTGGAAGAGGTCCTTCAGCCCCTGAGCCACTGCAGACAGCCCCAGACTGACAGTGTCCACACAGAAAAGGCAGAGATCAGAGAAGCTGAGGCAAGTACAGGGATATTCTGAAGGTGGAGGTGGAGGGGGATGGAGAGACAAGCTGCAGAGCCAACACTGTACCCGGGTGTGTTCTCCTTTGATTACTCTCTTTGGGAGGAGCAGGATTATGCACAGCACAAGATTTACAAGGCACTGCTTTCGAGCACTGTTGTGGACAAATAAGCCACGTGCAGGAAGGCATTCACCGTCCATGTAAGCTGTGTCCCCAGAGCTCTTGGGTTCAGCAAAGAGGCCCAGGGCCTAAAGCAGCTCTGGGTACACAAGGATTTCAGAGACAATGGCACATGCCAAACCTTCATGAGACTGTGGCTCTGCTCAAGTCCCAGACACTTTCCACCTAAACAGCATGCAGGTATCAGAAAGCCCACTATCAGAATCGAGGTGTTGCACCTTCATAGAAATGCCCACATTAAGTTTCTTACATCAAGCCACAAGTGTTATTTCCTAATCCTATCCCTAGATGTGGGCTAGAAAGAGGAAACAGGAAGCTGGGAGAGTTACTTCTGCTTCAGTTACAACTCTGTTCCCATCACTGAGGGCTACTGCACTCAGCCGCTCAGCAACGAAATCAGTGCCTTAAGGTGTAAAGGCCTGGCTCCTCCCCACCACTAACAGATCTGGGAGAAAGAAATTTCGTTCAATTCAAGAGTTAAAATTTCAGATTATCCCATAATACTCAGCACAAGGAATTGCTCTATTGGAAGAAAGCAATGGATGAGAAGTTCCTGAGTCCTGAGGGACAGAAGGAGCTTCTATGCAGTGGACATCCTGGACATAAAAAGCCCAAAAAGAAAACCAACACTGGGACCCCTGCTTCATTCTCTAAGTCCTCTGGGTCCCCCTAATGGCATTTCAGGGTTCCAGGTTGCTCTAAGTGCCCTTGGCAGCAATAAAGGGCATCCCTGGACCTCAGTGGGTGACATGGGAGGGACCCAGGTCATCCAAAGCAGTCAGTGTAGACAGGACCCTTGGGGAGACCCCACAGCCAAGGCCTAAGACTCACAGCACAAACAGGTCCTCTTCACAAGGGTTGTAGTCTTCTTCTACTTCCTGGGAATACAACAACATCTGCCTGTCAGGAAGGAGATCACCATCAGACTCTGGAGCAGCTCCCAGGACCCCAGTCACAGGTGAGGCACCAGCCAGGCACCTGCAATGGATCACCACCTCCCAGGGAGCAGCACAGGTCCAAAGGCAGGGAAACAAGGGACAGGAAAGGGATAAACAGGGCTTGGACTAAAAAACTCTAGGGTCCAGGCCCATTTCTGCCCCTGATAATCTCAAGCAAATGATAATATTTCCTAATTGTTCATCAAATGGGGATGATGATGGTATCATTTATTTCACAAGATCACCGAATTATTAAGAATTATAGGAGATAATGCCAAACAAGTTTTCAATACAGTGATCCACACAATGGAGATACTCATTAAGTGACTGTTGTCAACACAAACATGTGGGCAAATCTAAACACGGTCATTGGAGAGTTTCTGGAAGCTAGCCTGCTGCCCTTCCCTGGGCTCACAGATCCCAAAGAGTATCAGAAAGACACCAGCCACATGCATCTACTGCCCTCCCATCAGGGCAATACGCAGGGGGCGTGGCCTCTTCCACTGCATGGCTTCCCTTCACTTCCACCTCCTGGGCACATCAGTCTGGCAGAAATGCATTGCGAAGAGTGAGGCAGCAGGACAGGCTTTACAGAGGGACCACCACACCCTGGGGCTGTCCTGGGAAGGGCAGAGCACCTGGGCCAGCAGAGGCCTCTCCTAGCCCCCAGCTGCTGCTGCTACCTCTGTTCATTGAGCCGCCGATACTTCTCCCTGTCCGCACTGTTGATCTTCAGCAGCGGCTGCAGGTGGTCGTGGTGCGTCTTCACATTCTGGTTATCCACATAGACGTCGTACAGCTCCCGCTTCTCCTCGAATATCTTCTCTGTGGTGCCTGCGGAACCCTAGGTCAGGGTGGTGGGAACACGCCCAACCCCACCAGGGAAACAAGGAGTCCAGGAGCCCCGTGTCTGGGAGGAAGAGAAGGGCTGGGACATGAGGGCAGGGCCCTGTACTCACAGGCCACATAGGACACCTCTACCTCCAGGCTCTCGATGTCAGCCACGTTCACGTAGAAGAAAGGCTTGGACTCAGGAATGGTGCCCCCGATGCCAGGCAGCGAGACGTTGGCCAGGCAGCAGCAGCAGTACACTGCAGGGACAGAGGAAGGGAGGAGAAGAGTCTGCGCCCCCCTCCCCTGCATCAAAGGCTGCTACTAGGCCCTTCTCTGCACAGCCAGCCTACAGGAAGCCGTGGAGGGCCTCACTCTGCTACCCGCTTCCTCCCGACCAGGTGGTGGTCCTGACATTCTGAGGAAACTGGGGGGCAAGCCTTTCAGGGTCCCACAGAGAACCTAACCCCTTGAGGTCACATCAACAACATTCTTACCAAACCCAGTAGACATTTCACTCTTTCTCTCATTGGTCTTGCTTAAAACTTGACACAGTTGACTTTCCCACTTTCTCAGAATTCCAGCCTACCCCTTGCATCTTCCAGTTGCCCCTCCCTTCTGCCTGTTGCCCCTCAGTCCCCTCTGTCCCTCCACCCTATCAGTCCCCCTCCTGCACCTGGTACACCTCTGCACTCTCTGCACTCACCTACCCCCAGGTGACACTGCACATCCCATCAGTGCAATCTATACGCCCCTCTCAAATCTTTGTCTCAGCCTGATTTTCCCCAAAGGTCCCGCCTCCGCTATAGAGAGGTGGGCGAGTGTCCCCCAGGAAGACCTCCCAGACAGTGTGCACTCGTCACCTCCCACGCTAACCCTATCATACCAGCCCTCTGTGGTGCCATGTTTGGTGGTCCCATTACCCTTGTCATTACCCTCACAACCTCACACATCAGAACCATTACAACCCAACCAGACAACAAACTTTGTGCAGTTTACCTCATAAATATATCTAGAATCCATCTTCCCTGCTTTAATCCAGAATCTTATCTCTTGCCAGGCTGCTGACGGGTCACCCAACCCTTCTGCTACCCACCCCCAGAGTCCACATCCAGTCATGTCACTCTCGGCCTAACGCCTGTGATGCCCTTGCTGTGGCCTGACCTCTTCTGAGCTTGGTCAGTGATGGAAAGACTCAAGTTTCTGCCCTGGGGAACGTGAGCAGAGCCTGACTCTGGCTTCTAATTACCTCTGTAGCACACAACGCCCACAGGTGGGGGAGAAAATATCAAAATGCGCTTTCGGAGCAAGGCAAATTTCCAGAGGATGAGGATCTGTTCTCCAAAGAACTTAATAAACTGAGACATGCAGCCAGCTGGGTGTGTGATCTGAAAAAATTAAAAGGAGGTGGGAGAGGAGGAGGGGAGGAAGAACACTTTTTAAAAATATTGCAAAAAATATCCAATGCAGGTATATGCTGAATACCACTCCCCAAATCTAAAGTACAGCCAAACAGATAAATTAAAGGATGCTGTGTCCACACAAAATGATGTTTTTCACCTTCAGAGTGTTATCTTTAAACTTCTAAAATACAACAGCTCCCCTGATATACTCAAGGTGGAGTTTTGGGATCACTGACTACTCTAGAGAAAGAGGTAAAAGAAAACAAAGCTTAATTTAACTTTTTACAAGTCAGAAATAAAAGTGTCTCTGAAGAGACAGTATACTTCAGTATGAAAACTCAACTGAAAAACACTGTTGAGCTCTGTGAATAATAAAATGATGAGCAAACAGTCCCAGATCAGATTCTCAAATATACGGGGACTGGCTACCATATAACACGAGGCACCCGCACAGGTCACAGGCAGGAAGGACCACAGGGCCCACTGGCATGAACCCTGCTGCACTTCACCTACCACTGTTCTTCCTTTTGATGCAACTGCAAAGGCCTGGCACCCTCTGCAGGCTGCCTCCTAGGAGCCCCGAGCCAAGGAACATCCCAGGGGTCAAGAGCAATCCTGGCTCTGCTACTTATTAACAGGGAGGCCTCGGGAAGGTCAGCTACTGTTTCTGGTTCACGGTCCTTATCTGTGAAACGGGAGGCCACTGCCTACCTCTCATGGCCATAAGGACCCAGAGACAAAACATGAAGGACTCAGCACACAGGCACAAACATATGCAGTGACTGACTACTACTAGACAAAACAGAGAGGCTTCAAAGTGGAAATCCTGTGAAGTTTTCAGAAGGTCACTTCCATGCCAAAGTGTCAGAAATCGGAGTGCTTGTCACCCATTAGGGACACAGGCAAGAGCACATCTGAAGAAAGGCACCACACTAAGGCCACATGCCAAGGTTTAACAACTTGGAAACTTCAAGGGTACATACAGCAGAGCCTTGAGGCAGCCTCTGTGCTCCGCCAGCCCAGACCAGGGCTGTCCTCGGCCCTCTGAAGCCATACCTGCACTACCTGGAGATAATTTCCCTTTCTGAGGCATGAGCCCTGCACTGACACCATTCACCTGTCCCACTCCAGGAGAAAGGCTGCCCTCCACCGAGCATGCCCTGGGCTGCCTCCTCTGCCACCACATCCCAAATCACCAGGAGAGGCAGCAAGTGACAAAGTCTGGTAGGATCCCTCCAATCACTGTCTTTCATCAAATTCAAACAGCAACTAGACAGAAAAGGGTGCCAAAGCATGCCCCAAGTCGTCTTCCCAGCCTTCCTGCTGCTTAGCTTCAAGCCCTTAATGTGTGCCTCCACTGCTCGGGAGCCTGGCAGGCCTTGCCCAGTATATCTTGGGCCTCAGAATCCTAGAAGAAATGATCAGTCCTTAATTCTGATTTTATTTATTAGTTCGTTCATGAATGCACGTATGCATTCATTCAAGAAATATTCCTTATGTGCTTACTTTGTGCCAAGCACTCAGTATTCTAGTTCCACAATGAACAAAAAAGACCCAGTCCCTGCCCTTATAGTTTATAGGCTGGTGGGAGAAAGTTAGATAAACAAGCAATTAAAATCCAGCCTGATGAGAGCCAAGTGGGAGGACGGGTTGCTGGAGCAAACAGGAGGGTGCCTGGCCTCATTCTGGCAGAGACAGAGAAGACTTCCTGGAGGAAGTAACATATACGCTTCAACATAAGAGATGATGTAATGTGCTGGTACCTCTGCCAAGAATACCATCCTTTCTTTTTCTTTATTTTTATTTTAATTTTTTTGCTTTTCTGTTTTTTTTCTTTTACCACTGACTTTAGTTAATGGTCACTGAATTAAATATTCTTAACACAGATCATTCTGTCCTCTGGACAGATCCTGAGGAGTAAAGCTACTGAAACAAAAGGTACATATATTCTTAATTTTGATGTGTTGACATTGTTTTTTAAAAATTATCTTTATCTATAACCTATGAAAGTACCCTTTTCCCTGTATCTCCTCAGTCTAACAGGTATTTTGATGAGCTGCTCTCAATAGGGCAAAAGCATAAAGCAATTTTCCTTTTTCTCCCTTTGTCCCTTTTCCTTGGTCTCTTGGGAAGAGGAGTCCAGGGATATCCAGGTCAGATGCTGGTCACATCCCGGTGGGGTTGGAGACATTCTAGCAGTAATTTGACTCAGAGTCAGGAGCAAATAGAAAGAGAGCAGGGTCCGGTCAGCGCAAGAATAGAATACCCCAGTGGCCCTTGGGCCATTTCTAATCACTGTCTTCTCAGCCTATGCTCTGGGCTGGGAAATCTGCAAACCACATTTTCTGGATTCCTATGCCAACTGGCTTCCTGCAAGGTTTTTTCAATGGGAGTAAAGACTGGAGACTAGCAGGCAGAATGAAAGGAGAAGGACACTCCTTGGTGTCTTGCCCCTGCTAGTCTTTCTCCAACAAAAGACGACACCTGTGACTCTGACCTCTGGCTCTTCAGAACACTCTCAGCACAGGCAGAGCCATGTTTCCTGAGAGGTCCCTGCACCAGATGCTCGGTGCCACCCTTAGAGATCTAAGCACTGGCCTACAGGGCTCCTCCAGGCTCCCGTGGTTTTGAGAATGCCACTCCTTCCTCTTAGTGATCCCAGCCCTAAAGGTGTGTGACTGACAGCCTAAGACAGCCCCCAGTGACCTCTCCTCTCGCCATTTACAGCCTTATGCAATCCTCTCTTCCTCTTGAGTAACTTGTTTCTAATCAAGAGAATATGGTAACATTGCTGGGCAGTCACTTCCATGACTAGAATACAAAGGGTTCTGACTTCCTCTTGCTAGCTGGCTCTCGCTGGCTCTGATGAAGCAAGCTGCCACACTGGAGAGACCCACATGGCTGAGAACCGAGGGCGGCCTCCGGCAAACGGCCACCATGGCACTGAGGCCTTCGGTTCAACAGCCCTCAAGAAATTTAATCCTGCCAACACCCACATGAGCTCAGAAGCAGATACTTCCCCAGTCAAGCTTTCATATGAGACCCCAACCCTGGCAGATACCTTGACTACAGACCATGAAGCAGAGGACCCAGTTAAACCATGCCATATTCTTGACTCACAGAAACTGTGAGATAAACACATACTGTTTAAAACAATTTCAGAGTAATGTGTTATATCACATTATCATCACAATATCATCACAAAAGATGACTGAACAGGTGGTGGCTGCTGTCTGTAAATGCTAATATACTAGTTCCCTTTCTACTCCTTCAGTCTTTCAACTCCTATATTACTGATTGCCTGTACTGAATTAGTCTGCAATACCTGACATGGCCTCTGTTTTCCTGAAAGACCCCAGCTGATATTTGTTAGGTTCAAATTCCATGGTCTAGTAGTTAAGGTTCTCTATAATCTGATTCCAACCTATTTCTCCAATCTTTTCTCTCATGACCACCTGATAAAACCACTTAAAGAGTGCTGCAACAGGTATCAATAGTTAGCATAATGCCTAACTCACAGAAGGTGCTGGAAAAGTGGTAGGCCATGGCTCTCACTGTTCACATCTTCCCTCAGTCTGGAATTAACATTCTTCACTTTCCACCTAGCGAAATACTCAGGGACAAAGTCCTCTTCCAAGACACCTTCCAAGGGCTCTCCCTTAAACTCATGGCATAATTTCTCTACAAGGGGAACCCCAAGTTTCCACTGAAATATCTTGTGACCTACCACAGGCAAGGCAAGAAGAAAAAGAAAAAAAAGGTAGATTCGTGTTCTTAGTCATTTTTATATTCTTCCAACACTAATGCTTGGCCAGGTGTTTTGTTAACTATAAACAAACACTCTAGTACCAAAGCCAAATACTTCAGGTAAGCTATAAAATAAAGTAATATTAAAAATACATTAACTAACAAATACCATACTTGTTCATCAAATGCTTCATCTTTATTTCAAATATCTGGCTTTAAAATACCTGAAGCAATCAATGGAATCAAATCTATCTTTTCCCCACTAGGAGTCCAGCACAACTGGCCTACCTATCACATACATGGCTTTGTACTATGATTATACAGATGACTAGAAAGCACAGTTTTTAAGATAAGTTATGTCACCTTATGTGTTAAACTAATCCAAATGCTTCTATGTTACAACCTACTGAAAGCAGACTTTTTGCAAGAGCCCAAGACATAAATTCCTTGTTTATTTAAAAATTCATGCACAGCTACTGAACCCAGACACAAGTCCAACACAGCTGACCTCACCTTCATCTCAGGGTACATGTATTGGTGGATGGAAGGCAGCCAGTAGACAGGGGGCAGGCTGCTGCCTCTGCCGGGGCCGGCATGGAGCACCCCTTTCTTGTCCTCATAGAAGGCAGCCAGATGAGAGTAATGTCCCGGCATCTCCAGCTGGTGTCTGCACAACACATATACACACATGCACAGTGAGAACAGCTCTGGCCGTGGCTCTGCTATGAACTTCCCCAACTCAAGGGTTATAACACTCAGGGGCAAAGGCCCGATATCCTTAAAAGATCCCCATTTGGAAGTTGCTTAGGACGCCTCCTTTGATGTTACAGAAGATCCTTAGGGAGAGCTCAAACATGGGCCTGAAACTTTCTGGCAGCACCATGTTAACACATTCTCTTTCTCACGGGAAACAGAAAGAATTAACAGACTATGACTAATGTCTATTGTTCTCGAGCAAGGTACGCTAGAGACTGGGTGCTGCTTCCCAGAGAACAGCTGCTCGCTGTGAGAAGGGGAAACTTGGAAGCCTAAGAATTCCCTTCATCAAGCTGCTCTTCATTTGGAACTCACGCTTGCCTGCTTGTTTGTTTTGTTGTTACAGAAGAATAAGGAGAAGCTTACCCCTCCATGTCTCAAATCAGAGAAAACAGTTATTACTGGATGTCACTAGGGCTCATAATTTCTGCATCGAGTAATAAAGAAATTAAAAGCATCAGAATCTCTTCTCTTCCCACCCCCACCCAGCTCAGGTCAGCAGAGGCTTGACTGCAAACCAAGAAAGCAGCACTGAGGCCCTGGACCATGTGGACAGGGGAGAGTCCTGCCCCAAGTCAAGTGCAGAAGCACAGTGGGAACTGCTTGTCATTATGCAGTCACTATGGGAGTGATATAGGCTTAACTGTGTCCCCCCCAAAAAGGACACACTAGAGCCCTAGTACCTCAGAACATCCCTTATTTTGATAGAGTTTTATAAAGGTGTTCAAGTTAAAATGAGGACATTAGAGTGGGCCCTAATCCAGTATGACTGATATCTTTCTTAAAAAGGAAAATTTGGACACAGACACACATACAGAGAATGCCATATGAACATGATGACAGAAAACAGGATGATAAATCTACAAGCCAAGGAACCCCAAAGATTGCAGGTAAACTACCAGAAGCCAAGAGAGAGGCAGGGAACCTATTTTCCCCCACCCTCCTCAGAAGGAACCAACCCTGCTGACACCTTAACTTTGGACTTCTAGCCTCTAGAACTGTGAAATAATAAGTCTCTGTTGTTGTAAGCCACCCAGTTTTTGGTACTGTTATGAAGCCCTAGCAAATTGATTTAGGGAGGAATAAAAGGCACTAAAACCCTTTGATCCACTTTCACTTTCTCAGTGTCCTATAATTTCCATCAAACAATGAAAGAGAAGCAAAATATAGGTCCACTGAGCAAGGGGAAGCATCCCTAATTACGGATGGCCCTAGAAAAACTGTGATTAAAAATAGGGAGCGCCCCTCCCTCGCAAAACCTACTCCCCATAAACTGCCATTGTGGGTTACTCCAAACTATGACAAACTGCTCAGAGTCAAGATTTTCATCAAACAACTGGTAGCCAGCTGTGCTCCAAACATTGCCACTCCAGAGTGACTTATAGCTCCCAATGTCAAGGTGATGATAAGAGACCTTCAGGTAAATTTATATTTTAAAAAGGAAAAAATCACTGTATTCAAAAAATGATTAATAAACTAAGTTCCTCTCTGATTAACCACTCTAATTTCAGGGTCCTAAACATTTAGTTTTAAGCTTTGCACAGGAGGCAGCCGAGTGATATAATAATAAATAACTATCTGGAAGAGGGTGCTTATAATCACCTCTCTCCCTCTTACAGATATTCACAGGCTACATGGGAAATCCATGGTAGCTAAGTTGTGTCTGACTATTCTGAGAAGATGGCAGATTTCAGATACTCTTCAGGGATGTGTGTCAAATTGATAAAGGTTTTATTAATAGAAAATCACACAAAGACAATTAAGTTCATAGGTGTTTTCATTAGGATCTAACTTCCCTAAAAAGAATACAGAGAATCATTTTATTATATTCTTAATACTATATTTTCTGTGTTAAAGGGAGCTCTGTCAAGAGTAATTTGCGTAATACTTTTTCATTCTCTAGGTTTATCATTTGCTGATTTGCTGTATAACTGTCTTTTCTGTTTGACTACATTAAACTCTAAACTTGAACTAAGACTCACTACTAAGTCAGAGTCCCTTAGACAAAAAGCTAGCATAAGGATTCTGTCCTTTGATAGCCTGAGATATCACTGACCAATGGAAAAGAACAAGTCAATAATGTGGAATATAGAATATGCATACAGACATAAATATAACTTGGCAGTTCGTAGATGAATGTTAAACCATTATTGCATGAAAGCCTCAAAATTTAAACACACTATAGATTTTGCAACATTATCAAACACAACACGAAGATAAACTAAAAAGCACTGAAATGAGACTGAGTACGGATGATGTTAGTCTTCAAAGATGGTATAAAAGGAGACCTTCCTGGTGAGCTTACCTGTAAGAATGCATACTTGAAGAAATGACCACACTGAAATGCATGCCAAACCACCTACAGAAACTGTCCATGAGATGTGACATCATAAAAACTGGAGAAGAACTGGCTCAATACATGCTACTGATCTGAAGCCATAGGCTTATGGGCCAGATCAAGGATTCCCCTGCAGGACCAGAGACAGTGCGGTTCTCCGTAAGCCCACAGCCCCTTCACTGATATAACCCAGGCATATGGGACCATGCAGAGCCCAATCAACTGACCCTGTCTGTCCCTACCACACCCTGGCATTGATTCATCCACTTGAGAATCAGAGATGCCTCTGTGCAATAATTATACTCCATCACTCTGGTGTATTCATTACTGGTTTGAACAAGTCACCTTCTGGCTTTGCAAATACAGAAAAACAGGCACTCCCATTTACTGCTGGTGCAGGGACAAGCTGATACTACCTACTGAAGGGTAATTTACAATTTGTATCAAATTGTACATTGTACATTGTATATACTCTCTGATCCAATGATTCACTTCTAGGTGTGTGGCCTAAGGAACTATTTATAGATGTGAGCAATCATTTATTCGCAAGGATGCTTATGTTTACAGTGGTGAAAAATAAGAAACCACCTAAAAGTCCAATGATAGTGAAATAATTAAATTGTGACACATCTATAAGTTGAAATGCTGTGAAACCACCAAAATAATCTTGAGGACTATTATTCATGATACACTGAAAGGTTAACATATCAAGTTATAAAATTTAGATACTGAATGACCTCCATAACCCTTTTTAAAAAAATTAACATATATGCACATATTTATACATGGAAAAAAGAATAGTAGGATCAAAATCCTAATAGTAGGTGTCTGGGTGGTGGGATCATGTTTTTTTTGGTCCCTTTGGGCTTTTCTCTATTTTTCAAAGTTTCCTATAATAACAAGTGTTAGTTTTATATTTAGTCTTTTTAAGCTTTTCATTATGGGTATTTTCAAACATATACAAAAAAGTAGAAAGAAGAGAATAATGCATCCCATGTACCCATCACCTACCTTCAATAATGATTAGTATTTGATCAATATGGTTATATCTATATCTTATAGCCACAACTACCACTTTTTTCCTAAAACATCTTAAAGAAAATCCCACATCATAACATTTTACCCATAAATACTTCTGTATGCATCTCTAGCTGACAAAGTCTGTTTAAAAAATAATGTAATACAAAACCACCATGCCTTAACAAAATGAATAATAATGCCTTAATATAAACTAATGCCCAGTCCACATTCAAATTATACCAACTGTCCCCAAAATGTTACTTTACAGTTGGTTTGTTTGAATTGAGGTTACGTGTCTTTGGTCTCTTTTATTAAGTAACAGTCTCTCTTCCCTTTCTAATATAATTTTTAAAAATTGTAAAACAGTTCTTCAATATCTTCTGACTAATAAAAAATAATCATAAAAAGGATTCTCTAACTCGAGAGAGATTGAGGGCAAGAGCTGTAAAGGAAATACTAATAAATAAGTTTGGGACATGAGAAATCAGAATAAATATAAAACACAGACTAGGTGTTGCAGAGATCAAGTCTAGCCAATTTACACAAAAGTCATTGCTGCAGTCAAGTAAGTATCCCTGCCTAGACCTAGGCTTACCTTACTAGGCTTCTTTCTTTTCCTCAGACTCTGTCATACAAGTCTCTTCTCTCATGTTACCTCTGGCCCTCTTTAATCAACAAGGTAGAAAACCTTGTTAGCTAGGACTCAAAATCTAGAAGCCATAAAAAGATTAATGAATTCAAAAGAGAAAAAAACTAACATTACAAAAATGACAACAAACTGACGTTAAAAAGCAACTGACAAAGGGGTAAACTATTTTCAATTTATAAATCGCAAAGATTTTAGCCTATACTCTTAGCTAAAGCAGAAAATGATACCTAGAAGTAAGTCACTACAGTATCAAAAACCATATTGTGGCATTGGCTTAGCAGGTGGAAGGGGAGGGTGGTGAGAAAATAGATATTGCAGACTAGAAAGCTGGGAACCCTTGTTACGCTGTAGCATAACATTTCCTAAAAGTTCAACAACTTGGCAGACAGACCCTGTGTCATCTGAATCTGTAGCTTTAGGGGAGGCAGTTAGAAACTGAACATTGATGTGTCCCCACTTACATCTTGTACTGCTCTTACTAAGCTACTATAAAAGATGAAAACAGGCAAGAATTGGCCAGTTTGCAAGCAGAAATGTAAAGAAATACAGACTAATAAGGGTAGTGTGTTCTAAGTTCTGCAATATATTAATAAATCAATTGAGATACCAATAATTTGGGACTCCACAAGGCTGGGAAAGCCAATTCTTCTGTATCCCAGAGAAGGAGATACGATTCTTTCTCAAGAGACCTATGCAAGTCTGCAGTTAAGTATTCTTGCGCAGACATGGGAGTCAGCTTATCTGTAAAGGTCATATTTAGGGTACAGCCTCAGGGAGGTCACTAGGAACATGAGGGAGGGAAGGATGGGCCACAGATGGAGACCAGTATCTAATCTAGAGTTCACTGATTTAAAGTCATGATCCAGACAAAAAACTGAGGAAATATTCTGAATCCAGACAAAAAAACTGAGAAAAAGATCTATGCATGAAGGTATTTATCATAGCTCCAAGTATAGAGGGTCCGCTTAAAAAACAAACCGACCCAGAAGCATGCTAAATGCTCAAGCAGAGAGAATAAACAAGTAAACTTACAGGACAGCTCTAGCATTATCAAAATCATCATCAAAATGATAAATATGGGGGACAATAAAGAGAAAACATATGATTAAAGGGTATTCCTGAAGGAGGAGGAAAAAACAGAATGGAAAAGCTGAATATTTTATTACAGAAGGTAAGTTTCCTAAAATAAAAATAAAAGACCTAACTATCAAGCAAAGAGGACAAACCATCCCAGAAAAAAATGATATGGACTAATGAACAGTTGGTGAGTTCAGAAACAGCACAAAGAATCTGTAGTTATCTGGTTAGAAGAGACTTCTCCAAAACAACGAATTTCAGAAAACAGCAGAGCCACTAAGGAGGCTGAGGCAGGAGCATTGCTTAAGTGAAAGGGGAGACCTTGCAAAAGCAGCAGGAAAATACCTAATCCCACAATTTTCCCAGTAACAGTTACAGATCAATCCTGTGAGTTCTTTCACTGACAGGTACTCTGCAGGAGTTCTGTTTTGTACAACTTCTGAAAAGAGCTGAATGGACAGAGAAGAGATACAAATCCTCTTTCAAAATTGGGGTTTTTCTTTTTTTTCCTTTGTGAGAATCTGCTTTTACTGAGTTCCCGAGTAAACAGCAGGAGAATGAGCTACAGCCTCAACTATATCCCAAGCACAGAGTCACATCTCCTGTGATAATCCCATCTCCAAGGAAAGGCAGGGAAGCCAACTCTTGGACTTTGACATCCTTGCAGTTTTTGTTATCTGCCTGCCACTAAGAAGACAGGAAGGAGTGAGTTCAGCAGTTTCTGTACCCTGCCATTGTTATAACCCCCTTTATGAAGCCTCAACAGCTGGTTTTCATGGGCCAGCACATTCTTCCTTTTTCCACCTCTGGGCTGGTCCTTTTCCTCTTCTCCAGAGAAAGGCAAATAAACCTCTTCTTTCTGTCCTAATCTCTACATGAGAAATCTTTCTACACCCACACTGTAAGCACCTACTAAGCTTTACACCCTAACAGAGCCAAGAATTTTGAGGCTGCAATAAGCTACGGTAACACCACTGCACTCAGCCTGGGCAACAGAGTGAGATCCATCTCTTAAAAAAAAACAAACAACAAAATTAAGCAAAAAAAGAAAACAGCAGTATTCTTTGCTGTTTTCTCTGCAGAACAGCAGAGAAAACAGCAAAGAATACAGCATCTTGAGGGGAAGAAAGAAGCATTCATGAATCTTACGCCCAGCCAAGGATAAAGGGAAGAGGTCAATACGTTATTAACCATGCAAGACTTCAGGGAAGGCAGCACCCATGATCCTTTCTTTTTTTTTTTTTTTATTTTATGCCATAAAAGTGAGAAATGATTTTTTTTTTTTTATTTTATGCCATGATCCTTTCAAAGAAAGAAAGAGTTTGATGGCAAAATCTAGACCAACCAAGAAGTCAATCAAATCAGGAACTCAGAAATGGAGAAAGTCACAGTTAAGCACTGGAAATGGTTTTAAAATTCATTTAAATATATAGCTAAGACTTAAGAACTGTGGGAATTACTATTATAGAACTAAATGTAATAAATCACGTAATATATAAAGATTAAGATGTGAAGTAGGGAAAAGGAACTGGAAAGAAGCATAATAAACACTGTCTACGCTGAAACACAATTTTAAAAACACCAATGACACCTATACTAAGATTTGTGCACTTTCCTCTTTGTATGTTATTTCTCAATTAAGTAATGACACCATATCTTCATGTTTTTCATAATCTTTCTCTTAACTATGGAAGAATGTTTCAAGGAATAATATATCTTATTCTGAAAAAATATTTATTTGAAGTTTTAAGTAAAATTATATTTAATATATATCATTAAAATTGCCTACTAGTTGATAGAGTTAAATCTTCAAAAATATTAAAACTATTTTTATAAAGTTACATTTATTCTAGAATCATAAGCACTGAATATTGTCAATGGATATCTTTGAGTGTTAATATGTAGTTTTCTTATTTTGTACTTTTATATAAATTTTAAAATAATAAACATGGTTTTTGCACAAACAATAAATTTCATGTTCTTTCAAAAATGAAGATCAAGACAAATTTGCTACATAAAAATTTTAAATAAATTTTAAAATATAGGCTATAAAAGTGTATGGAATGATACATTTTTTTTTAACATATATACACATAAATGACCAAAAAGCAAATGTGCTACAATTTTAACAGTGCTTCAGGGATTAGGAATAGATCTTCCCCTCAAAATCTGAAATGTAATTAGATTACTTGCAAAATAAAAAAATATATATAAAGTAATTAGTTTTACTGTTTCTGTTAAAAATTCTCTATCACCCCAAATAATAACAGTAACCCCCCATTATAAAGGATTAGGCTTTAAAAGTTTAGAGCCTGTTTGCCTACTTGGGGCAAGGAGGTAATTACTGTGGCTTAGGGCAAATAAAGATCATATACCTGCCAACAAATTATTTAATTAAACAAAATTGATGACAGTATTAAATGTGAACTGAGAGCAAAATCTACCCCAGCTTTCATTATAGTAGAAAGAATAATTATGTGGGACGTTGGTGGAAACACAAGGACCACCACCTTAGGGCTTGAAACACCGCCATCGATGTTGTGGGAAAGACACCTGCTCTCCTGGCACACAACCTCCATCTCCGAGGACTCATAACATATGCGCCACCGGGCAGGTCCCGCTGCCTCCCTGCACAAGTACAGAAGCCACGTACCGAACCTGGTTCTCCAAGAAGTGCATGTACCGGTAAAGCAGGGTGTAGGAAGGAGAGAGGATGCCCACAGACTTCATCCGTGCCCCACGTTCCAGCTCGCTTTCCACGGGCATGTTGGCAAAGCAGGCCAGGCCGAAGAAGGGCCCTTTTCGGAAATAGCTAAAAGAGACCAAATATGTAGTGGGGTTCAAAATGAGAGAAAGAAATTTTTTATTTTTCTTTGAGACACAAGCCCAAACAAATTAACTGCGTCCAGAGCTCCAAATGACAAAGCTCAGCCTTAAAACAAACGTTTTTAGAACCTCAAGGGAAAAATCAGTCCAAGCCACTCGACCTCGCAGATGAGACAACCAAGGTTCAAAGAGATCACAGAACTCGCCAAGGGTCACCTGGCTGGAATGGGGACTTGGTCTCTGGAAAGCTGGCCACGCCACTGACCACAACCATGGACACATCCCTTCTCTCCTGCACCATTTCTAGTGGCTTGGATGGGAGAACCATAACCAAGATGTATCTTCAGGCTCCCCTAGAACTACTACTCTGTTTTCATAACATAAACCATGTCAATTGTTCCCTCGCTGCCTGAGTCTCTAATATTTTTAACTGAGCTGTCATTTTATTCCCTTCCCCTTTCTCACACTCATATCAGTCACATTTTCAGCCCAATGGGGAGATTAAGCCTACTTCATTATCCTAAGTTCTTTCCATTTGTTCCTCCTAACAAAACTCTCAGTGCCCAACTATGTAGGACTGAAAACTGTTCTTAACCACTTCAGGACCACGCTCCCCGGCAGCGAAACCCTGCCCCCAGCCGGCACTCATAGTCCGCCCAGACAGCTTGTGCTGTGCATTGACGACGAATCCGTTTTGCTCTTGTGTGATGAGGAAAGCTTTAAAGCACTGAAAGCTTGTTTTACTTTACAGGCAGCTTTACTTGTAACGTAAATCAGAATAGGTAACATATACATATATGTTTTCATTATGTCATTTTTAAATGTTCACAATTTTATTTTGATAAATGAAAAATTAGAAAAGTCGTATTACGGCTGTCGGCTAAAGTCCACACTCAGCTGTGTGCCTTCATATCGCGACTGTCGGCTAAAGTCGCTGTGCGCGTTCATCTGTGGCTATCGACTATAGTCGACACTGGGCTGTGTGGGTTCATCTGTGGCTGTCTACTACAGTTGATGCTGGTCCCAAACTGGTTTTAAAGTTGGAATTTCAAGTTTTAGCACACAGATGCAGTTAACCCACACTGAGCTGCACCTACATTCTTTAAAACCAAACCTCAAGTAAAGTCCATATCGTTTCTTAGAAAGTGAGAGAATCTCTATAGTAGGGATTCTTAAGTTTTTTTAGGTCATGAAATCCACTGAGCCCCTGATAAAAGCTAGAGACCTCCTTGCCAGAAAACTGATATAAACACAAAACTATACATATATTTTCAGGGCATTTATACACACACCACTTGAAGACCTTTAGATAAGAGCCCTAATGCTCCGGGTAAAGTGTGAGGGGTGGGAGCAGGGCACAGAGAGGGAAACAGTACAAAGATGACTGAGATTCAGGAGTACTTACATGAAGTCAGACTGAATTTTATGGGACCCGCTGGCCATAGACTTGAACTCAACACCTTCAAGGTCTATATCTTGAGGTAAGCACCATTCCACCATGTTTCCTGTGGGAAAAGGAAGATCAAGTTAAAAGAAACAAAATCAGAGAAAAGGGCTTAGTATAGGGCTCAGCATGTGTGGCTTTTCAATAAATACAATGCTGACTCGGCCTGACACAGAGCCCCTGAGCTGCTCTGTCACCCACAGGCGTCATTCCAGAGGACCAGGAGACAGGCGTGAAAGGAACCTCCTCCAGCCTCTGCCTTCAAATGAACACAGCTCTCTTCTCTCGTGAGGATATTGTTTTTGGTTCTGCCACTCTGCTCTGCCATTTTCAAATCTTCCTTTTGTGGCCTCACTTCTCTGCAGCTATTTTTTTTTTACCTGCTCCCCCCATTTCCTCATCTTGTATTTTCCCCTAATCCCTTGAGATCTTGATTTATCTCACAGTTCTACAGCTACTCATAACCTTGAAAAATCCCAAAACTCTTTAAAACAAACAAACAAACAAACAAAAAAACTCATTCTCACTGACCTCTTATTAGCATTTGCTCATTCCTTAAAAATTTCTCCTCTTTTTCCATGACTGCCACAATAGAATACTATTTAGGTATTTTTCCTACTTCTCTGATGACTGTAACTCTGCCTCCCTCCCTCTTTTCTCCTCTCTCCCCAAGTGAACCCTTCTTTAATGGTCAAGTATCAGTTCTTCCTGAAATTTGGGTCTCATTCACTCATGATTAATTACTGAGTTTCTACTGAGCTGTATGCTGGAGATATAAAGTCAAATAAGACAGAGTCCCTGACCTCAATGAGATTAGAGGCAACAGATAAAGAAGGAGACCAGAAGTTACAGTTCAGGGGGGTAGATGTTATGACATAGGATAAGGTGGGACTTTAAACACAGCAACAATGAGCATCCATCAGACTGAGGAAGTCAGAGAACTGCACAATGACAGTGTTACCCAAGGCTTGAGAGAACATTATAGAATACTCCCCCTACTGTTTTCATGCATATTCAACATTTTTCAAAATAAAACACCAAGCTACTTGTGAGACTTCATTTTAGGGCAAACTTCTTATTAACACTTCAAATCCTAATTTCCTAGGCATTAGAAAAGCCATCAATAATCCCAGCCAACAGTGCTTCCAGATAATTGTTAAGGGCATCAGAGAATACACAATCCAGTCTCAGGACACAGCAGACGTCACAGAAGATTACCTAATCCCATATTCAACCCAAGGCAATTTTTTTTCTTTTTTAAATTAAAAATGTAAACTTTACTTCTCCATAAACATAAGTTCCATCAAGGTCAAGACATTTGTATAAGCAACAATACCAGCCATTTAGTCCAACTCTAAAGAATTGAGGGTCCTGGGAATTTAACTCTGTCAATGAAGTCCAAGCCACTCTAAAATAGTTTATTTTAAAGAAATGAATCATAATTCTGATCAATTACTCAATTCACAAAAGCAAAAAGCACGAAAACAGGAATAAGATTTTACAAAACAAAGTCTAGAACAATGTTGTGTTTGTAAGAGTCAACGGTAAGAAAAAACACTCAGAAAGAGGTGTGACATTGGAGATAAAGGCAAGCTTTTTAAGCACCATGTTCCCCCCACATTCCTGTACTTTCCCCCTTCCATCCATGTCCATTACCCCCACAGTCCAGTGTTGTTGTGTTTTTTCCTCCTGTGGAACACACGAGGACAGCGAGGGAACTTAAAAGTGCCAGGGGTCTACCAAGACCTACAGAATCACAATCTCCCCTTGCCCTGCCACACAAATGTTCCTGATGTGTACCAGAAGAGAGCCCTTGATTGGGCCTCTGTATACATAGTCCTAACCTTTTATACCACCACATGCCAACAGAGGACAGGGACAGCCTGGATGGAGCCACAATGACCCTCAATAGGTTCTGTCCTCTTCCCAATCAACCTGCCTCTTGCAGTACCCACTGCCTTGTTTCCCCACACCTTACTCCTTACTGGGTTTAACTAGCTCAGAATTAATTTCCTTCCTCCAACCCAGCCTGTTCTTGACTCCTCAATAACTTATTAACACTTTACTTTACCTAAGCATCGTGTTGAAGTATAAGTACAGAAAGGTGCACAAACTACAACAATACAACTCAATGAATTTTCCCAAAGCAAACATATTGAGTGTAACCGGCACCCAGATCAAGGAGCCGAAAGAACATTATCTGCACATCAGAAGTTTCCCTCATAGCCCCTCCAAGTCATTAACCCTCTCTCAAGAGTAACTATTATCCTGACTTCAACACCATGAATTAACTTTGCCTTTTGTGAAATTTCTACAAACGCAATTATGGTTTATATTCTTTTGTGTGTCTTGTGCTCAATATTTTTTGTAAGATCCATGTTGTTTTGTAAGATCCATGTTGACGAATGTAGCAATGATTTGTTCATCTATTACTTATGCACAGGTAGCAATTTATTTATCTACTTAACTGGTGATGCACATTTAAGTTATGTCCAATTTGAAGCTACTACAACGAGTAGTGTGGCTACTAGTGCAGCTGTAAACTATCCTGTACCAGTCATTAGGTGAATACACTTGTGGTGACTTTGTAATGCGCTGACCTGGCTAGGCTGAACTCTGCTTCTCAGCATTCCCTTCCTTGCATGTTTCCAGTTCAGATTTGGAAGGCAGAAGTGAAACAGCAGCCATGCTGTGTTTGCCTCTGGAAGGTTGGTGCAGGGGCACCAAGCAGCTCACCTGCGGCGTTGCTTCCGTGCAAGCTCACCACAGTGGAGGGGCAGCAGCCAGGCCTGACAATGCTAGAGCCACCTTCCCTGGGTCTTCCTTCAGCTTCTCTGACTCCTAAGCCAGGTGTGTGTTTACTTCCATAAAGAAGAGCATCAGCTTCTCCCTCAGGACACCCACATCACCAAAGCTTGGGACAGTGACAGACTGATCCAGGTTTCTGTCCATTCTCATGAGTGCCACCTTGTTCTCTTTCCCAACTTTATTGTCTTCCTCCATAAGTATCTGCCTATACACTTCAAGCTCCATCATCAGACACAAAGACATAGCCTTTCCCATGCTAACCAGCTCCCACAACTGCATAAGATTAAATCTCTGCAACAAATTCCCTCATATATCTCCTAGTTGTCCTGTTTCTCTGATTGAACCTTGACTGATACAATATACATACACACGACTATATCCCTAGGAGAGAACTGCTTTAAAAATGTTTGCATCACTGCAAACTAAGGAACTTTCAATGATTCCCAATGTTTCCCAAGTTTATGTTGATAGGGCTTCTGCAAAAAAAAAAAATAATAATTTTGTAAAATATGGTTTTTTTGGCCACATTATCTTAAACAGAGATAGACAATTCCTTTATTGCAGAACTTCTCAGAGCCTTTAATATGCCCCTCTACAGTGTGAATCTCCATGAGATCCAAACAGTGCTTAATGTCCCCCAAATTATTTGGCCAATAAATCTATTTTTAAATAATATGTTAAAAGACTAATTTTATAGAAGGCATTTTAAAAATACATACATACATACATATATATATATATATATATATATAGGCTGCAAGTTGTCCCTCAATATTCACTCTTCCCTTCTTATGGAACAGAACCTGCTATTTTTAGCTTGGTGCATTGCCTACAAAATGAAGACTATGTTTCTCAGTACCTTTGTGAATAAATTATAGCCAGTGTGACATGGACAGAAGTGCAGTGTATAGTTTCCAGAATATTCCCGAAAGGGAAGGAGCATGCTGCCCACTTCTTCCTGCTGCCTGGAATGTGGATGTGGTGACCTATCACGGAAGGGATGACGGAGCCTTAGCCACATGACCCTAGATCCCTGCATGACACCAGGGCATCTGAGCCAGCATTCCAGCTCTAAGCCAGTTATCTCCTGTTACTTGAAAAAGAAATTAACTCCTATCTTGATTAAGTCACTGTTAACCACTTCAGTACCAGCATCGACTAGTCGATAGCCACAGATGAACACGCACAGCAATTTTAGCCGACAGCCATGATATGAAGGCACACAGCCGAGCGTCGACTTTAACTGACAGCCGTGATATGACTTTTCTAATTTTTCATTTATCAAAATAAAATCGTGAACATTTAAAAATAACGTAATGAAAACATATATGTATATGTTACCTATTCTGATTTACATTACAAGTAAAGCTGCCTGTAAAGTAAAACAAGCTTTCAGTGCTTTAAAGCTTTCCTCATCACACAAGAGCAAAATAGATTTGTCATCAATGCATAGCACAAACTATCGTGGGGACTATGAGTGCCAGCTGTGGGCAAGGTTTCGTGGCCAGTGAACACAGTACCAAAGTGGTTAATTTGGGTCTCTAGTATTCATGTCCAAACCCATGTCCTACTTAATACTGCTAACCTAGAGGATAAAGTCTCCCATTCCTTAGGCAGTTCTCAAAGCCCTCCTTGCTCCTCCATGCCTGGCCAGTCCTAATTGCACAGAAACTGAAAGAATCAGAGGGACTGAATGACATCCTTCATTTTCAGATGGACACAAGCCCCTCTGGGTTGGGAAGAAAGAACCATCAGGGCCAGGCTGGCAAATCATGGAATGGGGCACAGGCTCTAGAATGCCACTCTGGGAAGAGTGATGTTTATCCCTTGAGAAGCGCATTTCTGCTGATACACTCCAATGAAAGGAAAGTAGATACAGCTATTATGGCCCTTATCCCAACCTATCATAATCTTGTCTTAGATGTCTGTCTCCTCAGGAGTCTGTGAACTTCTAAAAGGTGGAAATTGTACTTGTCTTCACATCCCAGCACAGTATAGTGCCTAGAACAGGACAGGATGGGCATTAAATAAATAATAATAATAAAACACAACAAGCTTTATTAAGGACAGGAATGTCTTTAAAAAGCTAACTTACGAATTAGTGTTAATTATCCCAGAAGCAGTCATGGTATTGTGGTCATGTAGGAAAATGTCCTTATTCTGAAAAGGTTTATACTCAACTATTTAGGAGTGAAGTATTATCATACGTGCAAGTTACCTTCAAATGGTTCAGGGGGAAAAAGTATATATATC